AGATCTATCGAACTACTTCCGCAGAACCTGTGGCGCTTCAGATGAGTCGAAAGCCTCGCTTCACTAGCGCGCCTCTTCCGATAATCAAGTCTACTCGTCTTTGGAGCAACAGTCAGACTACTTCAGTTGAACTAGACTGGATGATCATTTCATCTGTGCGGCCTAGAAGTCCATCCGTTGCTTCTATATCTACAGTAGACTCCTCACCCGTATCCCCCGTGACAGATTCATCATCAGTTAAGACGAGTACCACAAAGGCATCATCAGCTAAAAGTACTGGTAGTGTTTTAAGTGGCTGGTTTGGCAAGAAAAAGGTCTCAAAGGCCCCTGAGGTGCCTGAGTTACCCTACGAATTTATAGTAAAGAACTTGGATGAAATCCCCCGGAAGAAGCCAACACACATTCTTCTTCGTCAATTATACCGTCCTAGCATCGCATATCGTGCGGACTGGGATAACGCGCTACGAGAAGCCATCGTAAGTAGCTACCCTGGTTCTATGGCCGCATTGAGAGCTTCTTACCCCCAGGACTGGGATAATGAACTCCAAGCAGCTGTCAAGGCAAGCCACGTGTCACCCAAAATTACCCGCAAAGTTGCGTCCCCTCGGGACTGGTCCAATGCGCTTCATGTCGCAATAATTTCCTCCTACCCAGAGATTAGATTCTCGCGAGGTCAAGCTTTACCGTCACAATGGAATGCTACACTCCAAAAAGCTATTGCTCTAAGCGAAGTAGCTCAGCCCTCCCACCTCGACGTTGCTGTTCGGCATCCCGTATTTATGGGCTCCATGGAAACGACAGCAGAGACGGTTCACCCGGCGATTGGTCCGAAGACGTTGAAGCGGAAGGAAAGCACCAAGAAGCAAGTGAAGAGCTCCACAATTATCATGTCAACCTCTCTGCTCTGGGAGAAACCAGTTGAGAAAACGGCTCCTACCGCAAATAGTTTGTGGTCCTCCAAGCCCATGACCAAGACGACATCTAACTTCGAAGCCGGGATCAATAAGATGCGTCACGGTCCGCGCAAATCCAATAAGATTACTCAGAGGTCTGCGTTCGATACCGAGCCTAGCTTCAGCGGGCAAGGTATGTGGAGACGTAACAACAATAACAACCAAGGAAGAGATTGGTTAGAGGATTCGATGAAGAAGCGCTTCACGCGCGTCGAGCTACGATACTAAGGAAGAGTCTCGGGAGGGTTTTTTGTCAAGGAACGTTACGTAGGAACCAATAATATACCCCTTCATACTGTACAACATCTAATAGCGGAGAGCCGCACCATATCATATCATATCATACCATACCATTCTTTTATCCTCTTTTACAGTCTTTATACTGCATTTTTAGCGTCTGGAAGCATGTATGTATCTAACGCAGCGTCACGCTTGACGAAGCCTATATGGCAAGTTCGGAAAAGTTTTTGTGTTCAATACAGTCTTCGTGAATAGATGCTATGTTACCTTGCGTCTCCAAACCTAGTACTTTTTGATTCGAGTGTCGGATCCCTATGCGTCGAGAGTGGAGATAAATTATGGACTATCGGTATAATTACCAACGAGAGGAAATGATTGTTTTACTAACTCGACGTAGTGGTTCATCAGCGGGGGATAATCCGTTTACTTGGCTCATCTCGGTAACTTTCACCCACCAATAAGAAGGGGTGAGTATAACTATGTGTATTCCGTGCAAACTCTCTACTCCTATCTCTAGACTTTTCTTAGGATACGAAAAACGGCCAAATTCGTGCCTGCGAATAATGAACTCTTCAGGAGCAGTGGTGTAGTCCAGTTAGGATTATAGGAACTAGTTATAGGAAAGTAATTAGATATTCAGATGTATTCATACTCTTAAGATAACAACCACTGGAGTTGAGAAGTGTAGAATTTACACCACTGCCCACTGGGATTCGGAGATTGTTCTCCCGTTAGTCAAGGAGGTCCATGAATCGACATTCAATACGACTATAGCAACCAGGGATGTGTGTATAGTCGAGATATAAGTTACAATGCCATACCGAGTAATTCTTTGGGGACCTTCTAGTTATATGCTACCTATGCGTTGAGGTGTCTTGTTGAATACCGACCAACTAGCTAATATGCGACCTGCCATCTCTCTCTGCCTTGCCTCCTTGACAGCAGTTGCGTTGGCTATCGCCAATAATGGAAGCACGCTGCCCTACAAGGATCCGTCGGCCACAGTCGAGGATAGGGTGGCCGATTTACTGTCGCGGATGACTATTGAGGACAAGACAGCTCAGTTAGTCCAGGGGGACCTGAGGAACTGGATCAACACCGGAGACGGTAGTGTAAACCAGACTGGTCTCGAATGGAGTATGAAATCGAGAGCTGGTTCATTCTACGTTGGTATTGCCATACCATGGAAAATGCTTAGCGATGGCATCAAAACCGGCCAGGACTATCTCGTGCGGAATACGACACTTGGTATTCCTGCGTGGGTTCAATCTGAAGGCATTCATGGCTTCTTGATTCCGGATGCTACTATCTTCAACTCACCTATCGCCCATGCATGTTCCTTCAACCCATCTCTGGTCGAGAAGATGGCAGGGGCTATTGCTCAAGAAGCTCGCGCCTTAGGGGTTAATCAGATCTTCGGGCCTCTCGCCGACTTGGCTCGTGAACTACGGTTTGGCCGTGTGGAAGAGACGTTCGGAGAGGATGGTTACTTGTAAGTGCGTGTATTAGTGCTATTGGACATATTAATATTAAAACATTCGTTAGAACTGGCGAACTAGCCCATGCCTACGTAAAGGGTCTCCAGTCCGGCAACGTCTCGGCTATGGTTAAACATTTCGTAAGAACCCCTATCTTGAATTTGGAAGTAGCAAAACCTAATATAACCAGGCGGCATTCGCAACGCCGGAGCAAGGCATTAACTGTGGCCCTGTACATGGGGGCGAAAGAGAATTACGCACTACATACCTTCCTCCCTTCAAGCGATCGATTATCGACGCTGGTGCTCTGTCCGTCATGTCAGCTTACCATAGCTATGATGGAATTCCGGCCGTTGCCGATAGACATATCCTTACCGATATCCTAAGGGGTGAATGGGGTTACAGGTATTTCGTGAGCAACTTCTAGAGGCTGTCTGTGAGATATATTCTAATATAGCTAGGTCATGAGCGATGCAGGAGCCACAGACCGCCTTTGTAAAGATTTCAAGATGTGTAAATCTGATCCCATTGACTCCGAGGCTATAGTGAAATATGTAAGTTTTCTAACCACACCCTTTGACCCTGACCTGACCTGGAAACTATTCTTAACATCTCCCAGGCACTTCCTTCTGGTAATGATGTTGAAATGGGCGGCGGATCTTTCAACTTCGAGAAAATCCCTGAAATGGTAAAGTCGGGAAAGCTGTCCACCGAAGTAGTAGACGAGGCCGTGTCTAGACAACTGCGCGCGAAATTTGAAGCCGGCTTATTCGAGAATCCTTTCCCCGGTGTCTCAGATGAAGACCAACCAAAATACATCAATACCCCTGAGATAGTCGAGCTTGCAAGAGAGCTCGATGCAGAATCTATTGTCCTGCTGGAAAATCATGGTAATGTTCTTCCTCTCAAGAAAGATGCAAATATTGCTGTTATCGGACCGATGGCCCACGGTTTCATGAATGTTAGTGAGACCAACTTCTAAAAGATGATGACGATGAAAATACTAATGTTTCTCATAAGTACGGCGACTATGTCCCCTATAAGGCCCAGTATAGGGGAGTTACGCCGCTGGACGGTATTAAGGCAGCGAGCACGGGAAAAGTCACGTACGCGCAGGGTTGTGAGCGCTGGTCCAACGACCAATCTGGCTTTGCCGAAGCCGTGGACGCAGCGGAAGAGGCCGACGTAGCTGTTGTGGTCGTAGGCACATGGTCGCGCGACCAGGATGAGCTTTGGGGCGGACTAAACGCCACCACTGGCGAACACGTCGACGTCCATAGTCTGAACCTCGTCGGCGCTATGCCACACTTAGTCAAAGCTATCATTGACACGGGGAAGCCTACTATCGTCGTCTTCAGTTCAGGAAAGCCCATCACCGAGCCTTGGATATCGGATGCAGCTTCGGCCTTGTTGCAGCAGTTCTACCCATCTGAGCAAGGAGGGCACGCTTTAGCGGACGTGCTCTTCGGCGACGTAAACCCGTCTGGGAAGCTGTCTGTATCATTCCCTTATGATATCGGAACCACGCCAATCTATTACGACTATCTGAACTCTGCGCGGGCATATCCCGACCCCGGTTTCGTCTCCGAAAACGGTTCCATGAAGTTTGGCCACAACTACGTGCTCCAGAGCCCTCTACCGCTTTATGAGGTATTATATAAATCCCCGTTTTTAACTTCGTTCGTCGAATGAAATTATATAGTCCTTTGTATTCTGATCTTTATCGCTAACCCGTTAAAAACAAATTTAGTTCGGCTACGGCAAGTCCTACAGTACCTTCACATACTCCCACATGACGGTCTCACAGTCCACCGTGTCCTCGACGGACACTATCACGGTGTCCATCGACATCACCAACAACTCAACGCGCGACGGCGCTGAGGTAGTTCAACTATACGTTCAAGACTTAGTGGCAAGCGTTGTGGTACCTAATAAACAGCTTCGAGGCTTCTCTAAGGTCTTCGTACCGGCTGGCGCTACCGAGACGGTGAAAATTGACATTGCTGTTGCCGACTTGGGACTCTGGGATATAGGTATGAAGTACGTCGTTGAGCCGGGTGAGTTTACTATTCATGCTGGTAGTTCGAGTAACGACCTCAGGACTGAGGCTATGTTTACTGTTGTTTAGGTGGGTAAATAGAGCGGTAGGACCATTAGCTTGAATCTCATCTATACATAAACACACTACCTCAGCGAGCTATTGCCCCTTGACAATATATGAGATCGTGATCCTACGAGTAATAACTGCTTCGACCACAACCAAGAGAGGCCAGGTTGGGTATCGACTCAGTCATATGCTGTAGTATCAACAATGATAATTACATTACCAACCCTTTAAACAACATCCAGTTATCATCACGTAAGTGTAAAAGTATTGCTCGTCCCATCAAAAGCCGTGATAGCCCCACCAACCAAAGCCTTGCTATCACCGTAATACTTTATTCTATACGTCCCCGCTTCAGCATCCGGTTCCGTCTCCCAGCTGACAGTAACTTCGCTGTACCCTAGCACGGTGTCGGTCCGCTTCCACGTATATACCAGAGACCAGTCCGAGTCGTCTCGAACCTGTGTCCAAGAGTCTCCATCCTGCTTCTCCACAGCCGTAAACGTGCCATCGAGCCGTAAGTTATTGCGCGGATTCGCGCCGACAAAGGTCGCGTTAACGACGGCGCCGCGCGCATATTTATCTGCGGGCTGCGAAACGACATCGCCGAAGGACTTACCCAGCGGCGCGTTGTCCTGCACGACGCCCGTGATGAAACTAAGGCTACTGTTACGGTTATCCGGTGGCGTCGGCCCGGGGTCTGGCAAGCTCGACGAGTCAGGGGCTAGGTACCGGATGTTGCTAACGGTAAGATTTATATACGCGGGAAGCTCCCACTGGCCGAAGAGCGTGCTCGCTCCCTCGTAGCGCTGGATGCCGTACTCCTCCGGCGTAGCTATGTAATGCGCATAGGTGTTAGCAGGTCCACCTAGTATGACCTTCGGCTCAGTATCTACGATATCGGCGGCGGCGGCCTTGACAGCGGCGCGCCATCTGCGCCCAGACATGGTGGTCGCTTCACCGGGGCTTACGATTATGATGAATTGGCCGACTCGGAGCAGCTGGACGTCGATGATGTTGGGACTCCATGGATACGGCTCGGACAACTCGCCTACGTCGAGGAGGACAGGCTTGGGATTCTGACAAGCTTGCTGCTCAGGTGATGGCGCGCGGAGTAGACTCTTGATCACCTCCCAGACGGGGCTGGCGCTCGGCTCACCCGAATCGTTCTGCGTAAAGTCAAAAGCGCCAGGGCCGTCCGTCGTGCCGGCGGCAAAGGAATAACCTAGCGCGGCCGGACACGTCTGGACTTCAGTTCCGTTCTCCAACTGAAATTTCCAAAAGCTCATATCGTGGTAGAAGTGGAAAGCTTTAACCGTCGATCCAACAACAGAGGTGCCGGATGAGCCGAACGAATCCTAACACAAGATGAGCTGTAAACCGATATCGACGGGGAGGATATTTGTCTTACGTAGACCGACCTAGCACCATCGTATTGGCGTTTCCCGATCTCGTAGCAACTTGCAATACCAAGATCGAGCTGATCAAAGAGGGGCCCTCGGCCGTGGCAGTGCTGTGATTTACCGTCCGCGCAAGTACTGTTCTCTAAGCTACACTGTTGACCGGATCCATCATCGCACCTAATACGCAAGTTATTACTTCGCATTACTTCGTTACGGGATGAAGTAGGCTTACCATGCGCCAAGTGTGTTAGGAGTCGTGTCTCCGACGTTCGCTTGAGAGAAGCCAGCAACAAAACCGCTAGCCGCTGAATCTTCGCCTTCCATAGCTTTCTCGAACATAACTTCTGCTACTCCTTTGTTATCGCCAGCCACGTGGGTGCTATTTTGGTAAATCGATGTTCCGTGGACGGGATACCACGTCAGAATACCAATGTTTTTGCCGTCGGACGCCCGCTGGAACTTAAGGACGGTCATTTCTTTATCAACATCGTCCTCATATTGAGCCCGTTCCTCGGCAGGGTTAGCCAAGTAAGCGTATAGACTCCGACTAAGGTTGCCATCTGTAATATTAACCGCCCCTATTGATATTATTAGAAGGGATCCTACGTAGTAAGTATTTTATCCATACCGAAGTCGAGGTATCCCTAAGCATAAAAATATTAGTATTAGATTTTATTTAGTCTTGCTTATTTCTCTACCTACCTCGGTCAAAGATTCGTGGGCTCTCTTGATTGACAAGACAGCACCGTCAACGATGGCTTGATAACTCTGCTCATCGAAGCCCAAACTGGTTACCTGCGGTAGTAGGTAGTTAAACCAGGCCCCAGGTCCGGAATGGGCGTGTGTCCCTGTTACCGCGACGTTGCCCTTCCCATACACGGCGAAATCGTCACCAAGCGCAGCGAGACCATCTAGAATACCGAAGCGTATAGCCGTATCGCCAGATTGCGTATCAAGAACCAAGTACGCGAATCGATCATCCGGATTATTAACGTCTCCGATTATAAACGCCCGCGAATAGATACGCTGTCGGAGCCCGGTACCGGTCTGGGAGAGGTCGGCGTAACCTGCGAAGTTGATTTCCACCACAGGCCCAGTTATGTCGGCTTTCCCAACTCCAATCAGATATTTGTCTCCCTTCCCGTCTGCTCTAGTCTTGGATTCCCACCGAGAGCTCGTACCGGCCTCATGTGAGCTTGTCGCATGTCGAAACTCGAAACTGTGCTGCCGTGGTGCAGAGCCAAACTTTGTTGCGAGGAATGTCCCCAGGATAAAAATGGAAAATATGGACAGGAATGCCAGTACTGGTCTTCCTGACGTTCGGCGGCTAGAGACATATGTTGGAGCCATGGTTATGAATTTTAGTACTTGGCTGCTTCTATGGCCAACCGCGCCTATTTCCGAGCAACAAAATTCCAACTCGTAACTCTCTTCCTATCTCGCTGTTGCCGACCCCGTTCCTTTTATTCCTCGGCCAAGGAGGAAAGAGACACGAGATAGCTTTCAGAGCATGCCTAGCCTCGGTTCCTTTCCCCGTCTAGGATGCAACGTCAACAGAGATAGCTACGTAGGTAGATATGCGTACAAACAAGAAGACAGACCTAGAAACAGACCAACCATGTTGTACAGCGTCCCAACGGAAACCTTGAAATGGGCCCTGCATCTGCATCCGGCTACCGTATATGCCGAGTAGGTGAGGGCCATATGCTGTACTAGTTATCGGGTATGCATGTATAACCAAGCGCGTTGTGTGACATCATGAGCTGAAATCGAGGGCGATGGGACATATAACAGGGACACACAACATCACATGCGTCCCAGGCTCCCAGGTAGTAGTTAGGTATGGCAAGGCACGCGATTGGATCGGGGTTAATTTCAATAGCGGTCCCTAGGTCTCCTAGCCAAGCGAATATCTTCTGCATATAGTAGATGCATACATAGGTGGGAGGATATAAGGCAGGTCATAGAGAAATGCGGGGGGTTAAACCAGGTATCAGTATAATGAGTTAGACGACGATATTTCCCGTATGCATCTGCTAGTACTATTTCGAGTACTATTTCGAGATTCCCCTCGTTTGTTTCCTTGGCCAATGATGATCTAATCCCAGAAGGTATCTGGAAGCAAATAAATTGCATCTGCAGGTCCCCTTCGTCCCGGTGGCCACTTATTGGATATCCGGACGGAGGCTATGTTAGCTCTCATTCATCTAAATCTTAACCATGTTAAAAGTAATCTTATATTTTCCAATTTTTCAATAAATCAATATAATATCAAACGCAACTTTACATAAGGCTTCGCTGAAGGATTTCTTATTGGATGATTCATAGCGAAGATGACCTACCATTGACGGTCTCGAAATAGGAAGCTCTAGTTGTATACGTCTCCCACCACACCAGCACACCCATGGACAAGGTATAGGTAGATAAGCTTTGCGGGGATTCGGAATTTCGAACTACCCACCCCAACATGGACATGTTCGTGTGGCGGGGCTACGGGAGATCTACCGGCCCCTTTTGTTTGATGTGACGAGTCGCGCAACCTGTCAATTCGTCTGGTGACTCGTCGTTAATGACATTGTGAGACATAAAATACCTGTCTATACACCATCATCAATGGCTTCAACTAGGCCGCTGATGTGAAGGTGTGTAAGTGTTGCGGGTAAACCACAGCGACTGACATTTTAAAAGTACCTATACCTACCTACCAGGTAAGTAATGTAAAACCAAGAAACAGAAAGATATTGATGAATATTTCCGGAAACCAACACACAATAATATATATCTTTATTTGGGTATCTAACGTCTCTAATAACGTATGCTATACATACATATATATATATATACATATCTGAGTTTTACGCCGTAAAATAACTACCGTAGAGGCAAGTATAGAAGCGCCGCCTTAACAGGTAGAATAAAACTCAATCTACTTGACTATATCTGGTAAATGGTCTGGCCTCTTTTACGTCGCATTTGTTGTTAATTCTCTAGCGTAACTCCTCGGTTTATCCCAGCCTAATGACCCAATTTTTGCGAAAAAGACCATTCATTTAAGTCCAAGTACTACAGTGCAATACCTTTACTCGCCTACCGTTCTACTTACAAGACATCAACTTATGCCCCGACGCTAGCTACTCGTTGCTGGTGCTCGGGTTGGGGTGTTAATCTTCTCGAAATATCGGGTATTCCGACACGATCCGCCATTCGGTCCGGCACGAGATCCGGAGACACTGATCGGATAGGGTACTCGGCAGCCGGCGTTGCAAGCAGGAGACGAGACGTCATGGGTTGAGGTGCCAGAATTGTGGGAGACTGGACCTCTTCGATCACAGTCTTGGGAACTGGTCCCGGCCCTGTTCGAATGCTCGAGGGTAAGATTTGCTCGAATCCTTGTTGTCTTGCAACTTGCTCGATACTCTTGAAATACTGCGGCAGTGCTTAGCTGACGGGTTATATATTGCATCTCTCGGGTATGCTTACCTTAACAGTCTTAACTTGTAGTTCTAATGTGGCATCCTCATCACAAACTATCATGGGGTGAGGATGTAACTGGAGACTCGAAAGAGTCCACATGTGGTTGACACCCTGCTCGATGCATTTTTGCAGAGCGAGAGCTTTGCGAGCGCCGAGGATAATTACGACAACCTCGCGGGCCTCGAGAACAGTCTGAACACCAACTGTTAAGGCCATCTTAGGGACCTTGGCGATGTCGTTGCCAAAGAAACGGGAATTGGCAAGAATCGTGTCGTAGGCTAGTGTCTTGACGCGGGTTCTCGAGGCTAAACTAGAGCCCGGTTCGTTAAAGGCGATGTGCCCATCTTCCCCGATTCCGCCCAAGAATAAGTCGATGCCTCCGACACGCTTGATCTTGGCCTCATACTCAACGCATTCTGCCTCGAGATTCGGCGCGTTGCCGTTGAGGATGTTGACGTTATTTGGGTTCACGTTGACGTGAGAGAAGAAGTGTTTCCACATGAATGAGTGGTAACTCTCAGGATGGTCTCGAGGAATACCGACGTACTCGTCCTATTTCGAGGACATTTAGCACATTAGATATTTAGAGAATAGATGAGGTTATTTCGTACCATGTTGAAGGTAACCACATTTTCAAAAGAGATCTAATACCTTCTAGTCAGCCCCCGCTCAGATATCCCAAGCTAGAGATTACCTACGTTTCCGGCCTTGTACTGCTCGACTAATATCTTGTATACACCAAGAGGACTCGAACCGGTAGGAAGGCCAAGCACGAAAGGATGTGAAGGTGTGGGATTGAAGTGTCGGATTCTGTTCATGATGTAATTGGCTACATAGGAGCTAGCAGTCTCCGAGTCGTCGCGGATGATGAGCCTCATTTTGCTAGATATTGAAAACGAAAAATTATATTATAGATGATGTGATGGCCAGTAAGAGCTGAGACTGGAGTGGTAAGATGCAGTCGTAGTTTTTGCAAACCTTTCTAAGGAAATAGAAAGAGATGAAAGCTTTGAGTAGTACAGGTTTTAACATTCATTATGAGCAACAGCAATAGCCTCATAGTGGCAAAGGCCCACGATGGGAAAAGCCTCAGCAGGATAGCATCGGACCCTACGGTCGGTGATGGAACGTTGGCCCGGATTGGCCCGTTCTCCACCGTCACGATAGCGAGCTTGCGTTTGTGACTAGGGAGGCTCGTTGAACGTTGTAGTAACCTGTCCATCAACTGTTTTAGGTCATGTGGTGCTCCGGACAATCTGGTTGGTTGCTTCGGACACTGTGAATTGCAAGTCCTGACCAACCATTACGTTCGGTATCTACCTGTTTGATAGACAAGACATTACCTACATGATGGTACTCCATCCCCGGAGATCTTGGCTTCGCATAGTGATCGCGAAGGAGGGGTATTGTAGGAAAGCATGATAATGCTGATAAGTAGAATAGCTACCAAAGAGGATGTCTTTTTTTGACGAGCCTCTGACATCTGAGCTAATGCAATTTCGACATCATATTCCCGGGTAGTGGGGGGCCACAAAGCCAAGCCAGGAGGGAGGGACTGGTCTCTATTCGTTCTCTTCAGCCTTAGGTCAACACCATCGAGCGACAAATATGTATAGCATTTATCTCGGTTTAAATTGGGGGGGTTTTTTTTTCCTATGAGAGCCGCAGAGCTGAACTAGGAAAAATTAAAATATATAGCCTGGCCAAGCAGAGCACTACCGGAAACACAATCAATCTCTTCCCAGGGCATTGTCGGCTAAGTTTGAAGGAATTGAAAAATAGATGAATCCAGGAGACGAATCCACGTGATTTGCTCGAGGAAGATGGGAAACCCCTGTAAAGGTAATAAGGGTAGACCCCTCTCAGCCACACACACTCTTGGGTTTACAGGTAGTGTAAGTACTAATCTACCATGTAAGTGCCTAGTATAATAGGGATAATAGGGTGAATGTTGTGTAAGTCGTCTTTACTAAGGACGGCTCGGTATCATGCTGTCATGCAAAGCGCCATGTGGCTCGTGCATGGGAGAGAGCGATCCTTGCTCCTTTTAAATATGGATCACTAATTCACTAATTCACTAATTGGGAACTTGGACCTGGAAGGTTAGGAAAAGTTCACAACAGAATTCTAGAGCCTACAACGTTACATCTAGAAACATTAACCCAGAATGGCAGATATGCACAACCACCACCACCACCACCAAGGTGAGACAATGTGTGCCGTTATGGTTCCTCCTCCTCTTCCTCTGTATCGTCTCCTTCCTGTCTTTCCTGATCTCGTCAGCCCATTGGTTGCGCTGTTCGAGCCTAGACCCTAGTCATATTCCGTTTTGCGCTGAAGCATCCTACCTACCTACTTATTCTCTTATTATCGTTGTTCGTTGTTCGTTGTTACCTATCACGGGAAAACCCACACCAGCCCAGCCCAGCCCAGCACCAGCACCAGCCATTCCTATATATCTATGTACTACTTAGTATGGTATGTATGTAGTATGTTATGTGCGTGCGCGCTCGTTGCTTCGACTAGTAGTGTATTATAGCTGCTACGTGAGTACCACCAAGGAAGTAACCCGCAATATCACCAAGATAGGTCCCCAAATATCACACCAGCACCTCAAAGTCACCTGCCCAGTCTAGGACACAGTGGCGCTGGATCTACCTGCGGTCCACTTTCTTAGCATCCCGTTCCGCCCTATCCCATATCGCCGGGGCGTCTACTGCTACTAGTGTATTATCGTCCTTAGCTATTGTCCATGTTTATGTTGTTCTTGTTGTTGTTGTATCATTCTTCCCTTTCGTTTTGGGTGGTAGCAGGACCCTGGGACTTTCTTTACAGGCATACCTAGAGCTACGTTCAATCAGGGGTGGGTGTATGTGTGTGTTTTAAGGTTGAGCCCCTCTTAGCTCACTTCATGTGTCTATCTCGACATACTACATACTCCCGTCTCGAGCGTAACCATTGTTTCCTCGTATCAGCCTCTGTTAAGGTTTAGCTGCCATTCGCTACTATTGTACCCGTTCGTTCGTGCTGTAACCCCCCCGTACTCTCAAACCCGGCCTCTTGGCTCTTTATTCTTTACTTTCTCCTGGGATCGTACATTAGTAGATCCAACCAACGGGGTCACCTCGTCAACTTCGAATTTGACCGGCAGGTTTCATTTCTGCCGCTCTAGCCCTTTTCCCGCCTATACGAGCTCTGACGCGGCCCTAAGGAAACATTTCACTCTCTTGTCTCTAATTGCCAGTTTCTACTGGAACATGACGAATGCTGTTTGAAGGCGAGACCGACATCTCGTCTTTGGATATCAGCTGCCTTTTTTTTTTTTTTTCTCTTCACCGCGTCTGCCCATGTTACCTTCATGACTTATATTTATCCCCTACTAGATCCGCAAACCCGTACGTTGTCATGCAGCCACTCACTTCTGCAATGACTACGTTGAAAAAATCGCTATTAGCGGCTCTGAAGTCGTTTCTGCGCGGGAGGTCCTTCTTACAGGCCCTCCTTGCGTTTTGGATCAGCCCAAGGGCTTTGAAGGAACACAATGTCGACGGAAAGATATACCCGTCGAGGACTCTCGAGCAATTCTTAGAGGAGGCGGAGAAGCTCTTTTTAGGTCCTATTGATGGGGACGGACTGAGCAGGTATTCGTCAAACCTCAAGCGTCAGTTTCGGGAGCGGTTGCATACTCATGCGGAATGCATGCTTCCGTCGTTCAACCACCTGCTCCCGACTGGAAAAGAACGAGGCCAATATCTTGCTCTCGATGTCGGAGGTTCAACGCTAAGGGTTGCGCTGGTGGAACTAAGGGGCCGTGAAACAACTGGGAGGGAGAGCGAGATTATTCGGATGGTTAGCTTCAAGATTACACCAGAAGTTAAGAAGCTCGAGGGGATGAGTTTCTTCGACTGGATGGCAGCTCGGATCTACGAGGTCATCCAAAAAGACATCTCACGCGATCAGGACATAATACCAATGGGCCTCGCCTGGAGCTTCCCTGTAGAGTACGTATACCTTTCTCGGTCTCGTTATATACTAATGCTAACAATTCGCTATAAGACAAGTATCAATGGGTGGTGGCCTTCTGCTTGGCATGGGTAAGGGTTTCTTGGCTACTAGTGGCCTGCTCGGCCAGGACTTGGGCGAAATCATCAAATTCGCCTGCAAGAAGCAAGGCCTTAATGTTCAACTCGAAGCGATCGTAAATGACAGCACAGCAACGTTGTTATCTCAGGCCTACGTCTACTCCTCGACGCGGTTCGGCTTGATCCTAGGAACCGGCACTAACATCGCAGTCCACCTGCCCGTGTCGGCGTTCAGCCGGTCTAAATACGGCAAACGCCCAGACAGTTGGTTCGAGTCGGCAAGCCACGTTATCGTGAACACGGAACTAGGAATGTTCGGGAAGGATATCCTACCCTTAACACGGTGGGACAAACTCCTGAGCGCTGCCCACCCGCGACCCGAATTTCAGCCACTCGAGCACTTGCTCAGCGGCTACTACCTTGGAGAGATCTGTCGACTCGCCATAGTCGAAGCCGTCGAGACCGTCGGGCTACTAGGTGGCCAGTTACCACCATCTCTAGAGAAGCCGTACTCGCTGGACACAGAATTACTGTCAAAGATCGAAGAGTACGTCCCACGTGACAGACCTGGTTAATATGTGAAGCCAAACTAACACATACACTTAGGGATACGTCACCCACTCTTGAAAAGGCCATATCACAATTCATAACACATCATCCCTCGACCATATCACCTACCCTCTCCGACATAACCGCAATCCGCACCCTCGCAACATATATATCACGACGATCCGCCGCCCTCCTAGCTGCATCCGTGTTCTCTCTCTGGGAGCTACGACACGAGACGGAAGCCGAACTCGCCGCGGCATCTCCTAAACTTACACCCTCGAACGATAGCGCTGTAGCCCTACCGTCGCCTTCCGTCGATGAGGAGTTGAAGGAGGTCGAGGTCAGCACAAAAGTGGCCTTCAACGGCTCCGTCATCGAGCACTACCCTCAGTACCGCGCCACATGCCAACGGTACATAGACGATCTAGTCTCGCACAGCAAGCACGCCGGGTCCGTGGACCTGGTTCCGACAGTTGAGAGTTCCATCATTGGCGCCGCAGTTGCACTTGCGTGCGCCACGGCCGTCGAGGCGTAATAGTTGGAAACCCCAACGATAATACGAAAGCCATCTATACTGTAAATATTGCATCTATATGTTTTTATTTTCATGTCCTGTTTTCTCCGAAAACCCCTGTCCATGCATTCTACCCGTGGAAGAAACGAGAGGGGTGAGCACAGAGTGATTGGACTGCCTAGCCATCACTGGGAGGGCATGTGGTGTTTGGGTCGGTCAAGCGAACGATTGAGTAAATAAGCAAATGAGTTTTGAGGCGGGTATACTAGAAGGCGTTTACGGCTACATAGCATAATTGGAAGATGTCATCGCCCGCAAACGAATCATGATGTGTATTGACCAGACATATATTAGTTGATATGATATGTGGTTAAAAACTTAGTAGTGTATCCAAACAATAAGTCATAACGGGTGTAGATATTCCAAAAAGAGCTTTCTATAAAATACTCAAGAACTAAATCTTTATTCCTCTAGTATAGTCTAGACCAATTAGGTATAGCAACTGATATCTCTTTATCTTATAAATACCCACACGAGCCTACGAACGAGGTAAGCGTATGATGAATATATCATCAAATGGGTATATTGTTGAAGCTGATGTTGTATGCTCGGCTGGTATCCCTTAGAGAGCCAAAGAGGGCAGTAAATAAAACACGATGACTCCGATAGTCCCCGCTACACTATATACACGTATTGAAAGCATGGTATTTTGGAACGAATATACGCTCATAGTACAGATAAGGTAATCCCTCAAAACAAAAAACGCCCAGATGCGTCATGCCGTAATCGTCAGAGCGCTTCGCTTGGTTACCCCGATTAGAATGCCGTCACTCACTCCAAACTATTGTTCACTGAATAAATATTTTAGTTATCCGTCTACATTCTTGCTCAAAGAGGGAGCAAATATTCTTTTGGTTATTCTGCCGAGAAATATCTCTTGGACTTATTCCTGATCTGCTGCGCCTTGATTTCTTGTGGCACTGCGATATGGTGAACTATATGAGGCCGGTATACGGTGTCCACTAGCGGTGTCCTATATAAAACTGTTAGCGCCGCTTGTTGGTGAAAAAGGGGAACGTAGTTGGGCTATGGTATTTACCAATCATCTACGCTTAGTGGGAAATATTCGTATAATTCTTCTTCCTCTTCTATCGGGCTACCGGCGGCGCCATGGCTTGTAGACGTCCGGTGTAGCTTCGGGCTGGTGAGTGAGTCCGAGGTAGAACGATTATTTGGGCTTCGTTCGTCCTCGGACAGAGATAGATTGATCGGTACAGATGGGGCCGGTGGGTTGTTTTTCGTATGGCTACCTAGCGCATGCATCTTACCCAATTCCTTGCCCCAAGACGGAACGGGAGGCCGGTTTATGTTTGGAGAGAGTGCTATCTTCTTGGCTGGATGTGACTGGGAATTTGCTTGTCCACCGTATGCAGGCGTTGAAGGGGTCCCCCAGGACGGTGTAGGCGTCGTATTACCCAGAGATGACGACGAATAGTTAGGTAATCCGTGTGCGGAATCCGTCCGCTCTATCTTTAAGTTCGATGCCGTACTTGCATCGCTATGAGTTCGGGCTCGATCTCCATTACTAGGAGGAGCCTTTTTGTCGCCGGTGAGAGGTACGTCCTTTCTACTATCAAAATTTCGCGGACTGCGCCCTCGCACAATGACCGGGCCGCTTTGGATTTCTGCAATTTTCATAAGCTCTCCACCTGTCTTCATCTTTCCCAAGAGACTGATCTGCACTACGTAATGCTGCTGTAATCCTTTTCGTCGGCCGTTGTTTGCCGTTGCGCTCTTGAATTGTAAGCGCTTCCAGGAGACCGGTATGCTGACCCGGTGACCGTCGACTTCCTGGCCGCCGGTCAGGTCGAGAGCAATTTTGGGCGGAGCGCTGGCCACTTTGGTTTCTTGCCCTTCGCCCAACGCTGGATTGCTGCTTTTCCACGGGATAGAAATAATCTCGGTGGACTTGCCCTCGATGCTCTCCTTGGCGGATATCGAAGCGAAGAATTCTATAATAGGTATAGCACGGCCTTGCTCATTTACGACCTGCGTGCAGTGGCGCGGCATGGTTATTTGTCCCGAACACTGCCATAAGTTCCGTCGGTAACACGTCAGCTCTAGAGGCCGACCGCTCGAGTCGCCGCCGAACACATCTTCGGCAACGAAGAACATGCCATATAGCTCCGCCGACATGGACACTTCGGAATATGCGCCTAACGCATCATCTAGGGGCGTAGCTTTCGCGGCCGTCGCGGAGAAGCTAAGGAGCTTGTCATCCGGCTGCTGCGGAGATGACCCTTCATCGTGGAAGTCTTCGGTATGCGGCGCGGCCTCGTATGGTTTCGAGTAGTTGAAGGGGTCTTCGAACGTTGTGGAAAAGGTTTCGAAGTCATAAGAGGGAGTAAAAGGTAAAGGAGGTAAATTACCATTGACGTTTTCGCTACTTGGATCTTAGCATTGCTACTTACACGAGCTACTTATATCCCGAATTTACAAGGACCATCACCCACACGGACATATCATCATGGCAGAGGTGAGATGTATCACCAGGTTTGACTTACAGCATCGACTCATCAAAGTTGAGATCAGGTTCGAAAGGCTCGATGCCTAGGCCGGACCCTGACATAGCATTTAATCCCATGGCGGCGTCTCCTGGACTGGCGCCTGACTGCAGCGCCGGCATGGAGTTGAAAGTTGCCATCGCATCGTAAAGGGCTAATACCCTTTGCGGCCGGAGGTTGTGCTTACGCTCGTGCTTATGCTGAGGCTGACGTAGACCTGGTTACGGAATCGGACGGTGTTAAAAAGTCAAAAAGTAGGAGGACGCGAGGATTAACATTCACCGTCGCCGGAGCAAGTGGAGTGGTCGCAATGTCGAGGTGTAAAGTTATTAGCGACCTGACAGATGCTGGAGTTGGGATGTTAGGATGTTAGGACGTTAGAATAAGTGTAGTACTTGTGATCTACCACGGAGAGAGCGCAGCGGAGGTGGAGGCGCGAAACATTCAATTAGATGATAGCCTTGAGCCAAGAACCAAGGGGGTGGAGGTGGCTGGTCTGTTCACGACCAGGTTCAAGAACCGATGGGACTACGGACCCGAACCTCAAGTAAAAGCTATCCCGCTAGGTATAACAGGTTATAGTCCAGGTACAAGCACAAGCGTAAGCACGATGCCTACGCTACAGCGAGCGGTTTGGTGCTTGGTGCTTGGTGCTTGGTGCCTGGTGCCCTTGGTGTAGTACTGTACTGGGCAAAGCTCTGGGGTAATAGACCGGATGATACTTAAATGGGGCTCGATAGGGGTTTTCGGGATCTCTAATATTGGGAATGGAATAGTGCTAGGTAGGTAAACGTGCTAGACCGTTAAAGGGTTATCGGTGTTTCTCCTCAGTCTTGGAGAGTGGAGCGTCACGGACATAGATTCTGCAGATATGGATTCTACCTTCTGGAACGAGTTAAAAAGAATATTTGGGTGGGGTGACAAGATTGGCCCCCCCCCTGGCTTCTGGGGAGATATATCATCACATTGCCGAAAGACTTTATCATCTGTCATTAATTAGTCGCCTCCAATCCAAACCCTCGGTGCTTTTTCTTGCATGTTCGTCCGTTCTTACATATTGGAGCTAGATCGCGTTGTAGTGCAAAGACTTTGTTATCAGTCTTGTTATCGTTTCTCGTCTATTCGTCGTGAAGATCAAAGCTCAATTGGGGGGGGGGGGGGAAATCCGGAGGGCGGTGTCTGTATCTGTATGTACATAGTTACGCCGCGGTTCTATTTTTAAACAGGGACGGCCGCAACGGAGACGGGGGCTCAAATTCAATCGATCAAATGTGTTTTAAGATTCAAAAAAGCTTCAAGGAACAATTCGTGATTGGATAAAAGGTACTCCGTAGGCCCCCAAACTCCGGCTCGCTCGCCTTGAATATAAAATCACAGGAGAGAAGCATGTTTCGCAGCTCTTATTAGAACAAAGCGCATTACACACACCGGATCCCCACCTACTTCTGCTTCCCTACATAGGTGGACAGGGGTACCACGAGTGTTAGTTAGATTCGGTGAAGGGTTATTCGTTTATTTAATCGGTAGCCTTATACACCGGTTCCGAAAGAGTAATAGTTCAACTTAAGTCGGACCACTGTATAAAATCCTCCAGATCAGCAAGTGTAGTTTAGGATTCAAGCGGGATGGATACTCACGTTTTCTGGCGAATTTGTAATCTCATCGAACGTCTGTTGGACTTCAAAGCCCATGGCCGCAAGTGGCTCGTATGCTTCGTCAAGAACCTAGACATTTTAGCTGTAATGGTCATACCTAATACAAGATTCAAAATTGCTTACCCAACTGAGAACACTCTTTGCAGACTTGTGCGCCTTATTCTGTCTTACGCCCATGAATACTAGCCCTTGCAGGATTAACCTTGACTGGGCTGTAGAAGGCACTATTGGGGCGATAATACCACCAATATCTTCACCGCTAGCCGAGTGAAGTGGAGGGATATATGTCGACAGGCGACTTCCTGCTGTGCAGATGATGACCGTCCCTAACAGGTTATCCATCGAGTTCTTGGCTCGGACTACTCCGCTTGTATTCGTTTCATGTAGTGCAAATCGATAAAGCTCCACGACCTCGGGTCCTGCGTGTGTCGCTACATGGTTTAACACCGACTCGGCGTTATCGAGTCCGTGGATTAAGTCAAAGCTAAGACTCGCTCGCTGGATGCTTTGTAGAAGGCCTTCCGGTGCCGTCCAAGCTCCGAGGTCTTCGATGGCCATGTTCGTCAGTCGTTTCGGGAACTGTGTATCCCAACCGACGTTGTTAAACCAGCTCTTGTTACTCCCGCTTTCATCGACAGGTACTCCTGGAAACACTCCCGGGAATGTAAGCCCAAGTTGGAGTGTCTTGACACCTGGCTTCTGAAGTAACGCTCGCAACGCACGACGGTGTAGTGACCTGCCAATCGATACATTTCGTTTCGCCGGATCGACAAAGAGAGCGCCAATAGCACCAACCCCTTTCACGTAATACGTAGCCACGAAACCGTACAATGTTTTTGTGCTGCTGTTCCGCACGACAAAGTGTGCCTCTTCAATGTGCGAGTTAGACAATTCGAACGAATGAGCTCCTGCCGTGAGATACGGAAGACTCGGTGTACTAGAGCGAGCCAGAGTTCTTAGCAGCTCCTCCAGGGCAGCAGCATCCCGCTCGCGGTCGTAATTCTCAACAAGCCATTGTTGTCTTGTCTTGGAGACTTTCTTACTCTTCCTCATAGTTCCCGGCATCGACCCCTGAGGAGTTATCTCTCCGTACAAGGCGCGAACGAGGGAAGCCATGGCCGTTTCTGTAAAATCAAAAGTGCAGACGTACGTCCCGATGGATTTGTCCATTGCGAAATCATATGGAGAACTGACTGCAACCACTATGAGCGACTTCTTTTGGCCGGTCCCACGAAGCATATGGCACATCATTGCTACATGCTTTGTGAATCCAGTTTGATACATATTCCGGTTAGCATCAGCCGTAACTATAATTATCGCCGATGCTCTGTTAATCAGATTCTCGTGCACTGTGGATTTATTAGCTTAGTACCAACGTCGAGACGAAGATTCCTCTAACCTGGCCTGAGTCCATTTGCCGTATATGATGTGTGAAGAAGTTTGCCATTGCGTATACGAGCTATTGATCTGCCCAACTCTCGAAAGACACCTTCTCCGCTCATGATTGCTCCACGTTCCTGGTGAATCCATTTCTCGTGCAGGGAGGGAGCTTTGTTACCCTTTTCCAACATATTTTTAGTAGCTGCCGAAGCTGGTAGGGGCTTAACTAATGGCGTCAGGAGTAAAAGTTCTTCCTCCTGGAGTAAGCTCTGTGAAAGGGGAAGTAGATTGTCCTTGTCCCGGACGACTGCGATTGATTGATCGTACGCCTTTCGAGAGAGTGCAAGATGTGTAGGATGTATCTTAGACAGTAACGATAATCCGGGAGGATTTAGTGCCTTCTGCCAGGACGTGCATACACTCTTCATCCGCAACACTCGCTTGAGGGAAGTATAGATCCGGTCTTTCGATATAATACCGTTCTCAACGCCTAATTTTAGCCCCGAAATGGCCTCTAGTTGTACGTCGTGTGCCCTACATAAAAGCACTAGATCATTGCCCGCCTCGACGGCCATTACAGTACCCCCTTTTACTCCGTACTCTTGTATAAGCGACTGCATTTCGAGGCATTCTGAGATGGCGACGCCTTTGAATCCCAGTTCGTTTCTCAGGAGGTCGTCCACAACCTGGTCTGATAGGCAAGCATGCATGACATTCATTCCAGCACTCTGAATTCCGCATCCACCGACAAACATGGCGTCTAGACGTCCAGCACTTATGGCATTCCGGAACGGTATAAGAGCACTGAGGTTAAGTTCCTCCAGTGTTTGAGTGATGATAGGCATGTCTAAGCTAGAACCGAGGAAATCAATATTCCCGTAGGACGGGAAATGCTTTCCGCAGGTAGCTACACCAGCATCCTTAAACCCGTTGATGGCAGCAATGCAAAACTGAGATGCCTCTTGAGGATCGTCACCAGTAGCTCGAACGCCGAGGGGTTGGTGTCGAGCATTAGTCAAGACATCTAAAACAGGACCGAGAATAAGATTGACTCCAACGGCAGAAACTTCGGTTGCTGTAGCTCTTGCTACGCTGTAGGCCAGCTCTGTGCTCCCCGTAGCAGCGACGCCCATCGCACTGGGGAACTGACAGATATAGTCTTCATCAAATAGACTATTGACGCCTCCATTTTCTTGGTCAACAGCAATTAATAAAGGTTGAAGGTGTCCTGCTTGGTGTGCTATCGTCTGAAGTTCTTGAACCAGAGAAGCAGTCTGTTCAGCAGCTATATAGTATATATAAGTCAGTATCCTCTTTATATAATTAATACTCTATAGCTCTTAAAGATGAAAGTACATTTGAGATTCTTAGCTGTCAATATGATTGAACCTAAATGGTGATTCTCAATGAGATTTCGGATTTGAGGCGTTACTTCTGTGCCATCCCATCCCATGATCAACATCTGACCAATGGCCCTATAGGAGAGAATTAGCGAAGTGTTCTAGCCATGCGGCCGGATCGCCCCGGCCGAAGCTTAGCCATGAGGCTCTTAGTGAAGAGGGAGTGTACCAATCGAGATTCTGCCATAGTGGGTCGAGTTCGCTTTCCGACTTAGTCATTTTGCGGTCGTATTGTTACAACTTGATGCTATACTAGTCAAAGACACCCTGAATCCAAAAAGATGTAAGCACAGATGATAAGCACGGGGTTATCTCCAGTTGGTGAAATTGGGGTGTAGAGCGTGTGTAGAGCCTCGGGCAAAACACCCGATGTGGTGCAGCCCTCCTCGCGCGGTACGGCCGGTTTGGCGAGAATAAGAAAGGGAGAGAAAAGAATTGACGATGGTAGACTACAGATTGCAGATTGCCTACAGACCCATAAGATGCGCCATAATGAGAATGTGGTGTGTTACTGACAGCTTACAGTGGTGGTAGTATAGAATTGAGATACAGAATTAAGGCGGTAGCATGCATAAGCCGCGGATTTGGGGGCCTATTCTCGATAAAACCCCTGGAGCTGCTTGAAACACATAAACAGTACGGAACACATGGTACCTATTGTACAAATGTAACTAAATCTGGGGAGGGCTGGAAGGGCTATGTATTTTTGGGGGGAAACAGCGCTATTCCGCTTTTAATTTTATGTAGTTGTTACCTATTCTCACCTGTACGGATCCGTACATATGGTACCTAATATACAATAAATACATAATTTCTTCATCCGTGACATTGATCTTATCGGGGCTTCTCGCCTCTAGGTTAGAAACCTTCCAACCACTTCGCAACGTTACCTTACACTAGGTACTACGGGAATCCTATGTAGGAATTCCACGATCCATTTTTTTCTTGTATCTTGCCTCTTTGCAATGGATGGTCACAGAGAGATTGATCTACTGTAACAGTTGTAAGCTCAACCAAAGGACCCGACGATAGACGATGGCCGTCCGCAAATGGTAACAGTGTAATCGAGCATCTCACACAAGAATCTCTTGTCAATTAGGTTGCCACACCCTCTTAGCAACCAACCCCTCGGCCTAGAAACGCCTAGAGGTTGCTGACCAGTCTCTTTAGTCACATGTTCCTACCATTGGCCTGTAAATTGGCATCAGTCCATTCACAAAACTGGGCTTGACTGTCGCAACCTCAAGACTGACGTCCGACTGGCTCCACTGGTCTAGGTACTGTGTATGTGAAAGTAGGGGACCTCACCTGTCTTCGGCCCTGTCAGTGACACTGTTCTGGCCTTCCAGTTGGTATCCCACACGCCGAGTTTTCGGACCCAACATCGGCAACCCTTCGGCGTAGACGGATATGCGTTGTGATATCATGAGTAAATAAATACATATGTATGAGCTATTTCCCGTCTTCTGGCTTGTCTCGTTCATGGAGACAATGATACTTGCTCGAGGGGCAATAGTCCTACTACTCGATAAGACATAACACAGAATATATCGAAGTGATATATATACAATTTCTTCGCTTATCTCCCAACACTCATCATGCCTCACTCTCTACCCTCGTCGCCTAAATCGACACCAAGGGATGGCCGGAATGGCATTACCAAATTCACCAACTGCCGCATCTTGAAAGGCGACAAACTGCTAGATGAAGACCTATGGGTTAATTCCGTCACCGGAAAAATCATTAGAAGCCAGGCTGCTTTTTACGATGATTTTATCGTCCCAGATGAGGTTATCAACCTCCGCGGTCGTATCCTATCTCCTGGTATTATCGAGTGCCAGCTCAATGGAGCCTTCGGTTTCAACTTCTCGACCCTTCTCGAACCCGCCGTATACGCTAAGAAGGTCAAGGAGTTGAATAAACAGATGGTCAAAACGGGTGTCACATCATATGTACCTACAATCACAAGTCAACGGAGCGAACTATACCAGCGAGTTCTACCGTATCTTGGTCCGTCGGGATATCGACAGGTCGCAGAGGATGGAGCAGAATCTCTCGGTGCCCATTGCGAAGGCCCGTTCTTAAGTCCAACTAAGAACGGAGTTCACAATGTGGATGTAATACGAGAAGCCGAGACCTTTGCGGATCTGGAGGAATGTTATGGAGCAGAGAACCTTGATCACGAAGATGCGTTCCGTCCCACGCCGATAAAGATGGTTACCGCTGCACCGGAGCGGGGACAGATGACAAAACTCATTCCCGAACTCACAAAACGGGGCATCATCTACTCGATCGGACACTCAGAAGCCACATACGAACAGGCGTCGGCAGCAGTTGCTGCTGGCGCGACAATGATCACTCATCTTTTCAACGCTATGCGACCCCTACACCACCGAAATCCCGGCATCTTCGGCGTCCTAGGCTTAGCAGAAAGCTTACCTCGCCCCTATTTTGGCATCATTGCTGATGGGGAGCACTTACATCCCACAACAATTAAGATTGCCTTCAACGCTCATCCCGACGGGTTCATCCTCGTCACCGACTCCATGCACCTGGTCGGCCTGCCAGATGGTGCTTACCAGTGGACCAACGGCGAGAGCGCAAGCCACATCGTGAAGAAGGGTAATAAATTGATACTAGAGGGCACCGACAGAATTGCTGGAAGGTAAGGGCTAACTTCTATACCCCCAGATAAATGATGGCATGGCTAACTAATTTATTAGTTCGATAACACTGATCGAATGTGTTTCTAACTTCCTCAGCTGGTCTGGTGCAACCATACCCCAAGCCCTAAAGGCTGTCACATCGACGCCGGCCGCTATGTTAGGCCTGCAGGGTATCAAGGGGTGTCTTGACGATGGCGCGGATGCAGACTTGGTAGTGTTGTCCGAGAAGCGGACAGAGAACCGCACTGACCTCATTGTCGACGAGGTATGGAAGTTTGGTACGAAGGTATTTAGTCGCTCATAGTTAGAAACCGGAGAAAGCATGACAGACAGGTATACTTGAAGAGATAAAATTGTTGTATCTGAAGGTCACGGAGTCAGGCGGTATATTTATATCGGCATAGAACGTTGTTATAACTGGGTTTACATGTCTGGTAGACACGACTTGATATTAAGATCTCTGTTAGACGGGAGCCCTTCATTGCGATACCCAGTCACCTTAGTATATTGAGAAAGTTAAATATTTTTGCTAATTTGCTATGCTGGCTGTTCCTCTGTACTCTAAGGATGTTTATATCTACGTTACGTTAGGTCGCTTGACGGTCAACTTGAAGGGCTTCTTCAAACGATCCATAGGGGTAATGCCATTTCGTCCCAGAGGTGCTGGTTTCTGAATACCACCACCTCTCCAACCAACGCTCGGCCCGTAGTTGACTGTCGTGGCGTGAAAGCTCTTTGCGGGACGTGTCTGCTCCTCCGCTGGCACCTCATTCTCCTTCTCGGCGGTTTCTGGCTCGTCTGCCGGCTGTGGTTTGGTCGGCGAGCTTGAGAAACAAGTATATTGTTTTGGCTTTGGCGGTGGCTCTTCCTTTATTATTTGGTTATTCGTGGGTGGTCTGCTTGACAATTTCGCGGAGCCTAGCTTATGAATTGGCGGACTGGGCTCCGCGGTGGTATTTTGTTGTATCTGACGCGGTCCCACGGTCGACGGGGCTACCTGAGATCCTGTACGTTGCCTACTACCTCGAGAAAGCTGGTAAGGGCCAGGGGGGTACCTCACCTGTTGGTTTGAATTATGAGGCACAGCCGTTATGGTATTATCGGGTTGTTTGGACTTATCATGGTTCGTCACACCGTATCCGTAACCTATTAGACTCCTTTGGGAAGGGGCTCGGTTTGTTGGGGGTCTTTTTGTTGCTGGCCCTTGAAGGGCCTTTCCGGAAACTTTGGTTGTCTCAGCTTCACTAACGCTCGCATAGTGAGCCCCAGCCGTCGTAAAACCTGGTTGCGGTGCCGCAGCCGGCACTGTAAATGAAGCAGACCTTTGCATCGTCGTCGCATACGGAGCAGCCCAGCCATCGATTGATTCCTCGGCGATCTGAACACTTGGGTGATTCAGTTTCTGCCGTTTACGCTGGGCGTATCCGCGCCCGTCTGTAGAGGCATTAGAGGGTTCCTGCGCCTGGCTCGGATCGACTGGGTAGAGATTGTCTTCTATAGCTGTCATCATTGGCATGCCCTTGTAGATGGCACTTTCTGAGGGCAGTTCCCTTCTTAATATCCTGGCCATTTCCGACATAATTGGACGATCAAGAGATGGTCCTTTTTTGAGGAAAGTCGAGGAGGGGAGATTTTCAATGAAAGGAGAGACCTGAAGGGCTTCTTTGCTTCCGCTGGAAGAATATAAAGGGCAGCTAAGATAGAGTAAAGCCTGGGCTCGGGTCATTGCTACATATAAGAGACGTCGCTCCTCCTTGTCGTCATCAGACCGCATATGCGGTATAGATCCCTTATAGACTGCCGGGATGAAGACAACAGGCCACTCTAGGCCTTTTGCAGCATGTATTGTAGAGACTGTGACTTGGGGCTTCCCACCCTTATCTTTATCATCAGTCTGTTTGTCGGAGGCTAGCGAAACATTCGCTAAGAATCGTGCTAGTGCGTCGTCGTCTGACGCCTGCTGGGTATCTTCAAGAACTGGAAGCATTTCTTCTTCTGGCCTATCCTGATTCATGAACTCTGCAGCGAGACTCACAAATTCTTGGACGTTTGCCCATCGCAACTCATACTCGGGTCCATACATCTCCTCTAGGTGCTTCTCAAATTGTAGGTCTTTGAGTAATTGGTTGATAATCTCAACTAAATTAACGGGAGTTCCTTCGCCCGGCTGCAACTTACTTCGTAAGTTGTTAATTAATTTAATAAGGCTACCGCCGATCTTCTGCTCTGCTTGTTTCCTAATGGTCGTCTTTGCTGTTCGCTCACCTCGACAATGTTTTCGCAGTAGCTCCCAAAGGCTCATAGAGTTGCGCTCAGCTTCTTCCAGAAGTGACCTGGCTGTTACATCGCCAATGCCTCGCTTTGGTACGTTCATAATCCGCGCAAGAGCATCGTTGTTATCGGGCTGATAGATCACTCGTAAGTAATCCAATATAGCTTTAATTTCAGCCCGTTCATAGAACTTGAAACCTCCTATAAAACTCGACATTAGCATGAGGAATAATGTGAATGAGCACACGGGATTATTATAATACGTACCGACCATCTTGTAAGCTATGCCTTCTCTACCCAGAGCAGATTCTATGTGCCTGGATAACGAGGCAGACCGGAGCAAGATCGCGATGTCATTAGAATTTATCATATTCCCAGACATGAGCTTAATCCGCTTAATTTCCGAGACAATCCAATCTGCCTCTGCCGTAGAACTATTTAGCATGCGAAGAACTGGCCGGGTACCTTTGGCATGAATTGGTAATAAGGCTTTCTTATATCTTTCTTCATCTTGCTGAATGACACTCAAGGACACGTCGAGAATGGAGCTTGATGACCTGTAATTTTCCTCGAGAGATATCTCATCGGTACCGGGAAAGTCACGAAGTAGGCGATGGAGATTTCTTATTTCTGCCGATCGCCAACCATAGATACTCTGATCCGGATCGCCAACTATTGTTATACATCGATTCTTCTGAGCGAAAAGCTTCATTAGATCATACTGCACCCCGTTCGTATCTTGATATTCGTCAATCAAGACTGTCTCGATATTACGGACGCAATCGGGGCATTTGCGAAGGAGCTCGACGCAACGGGTAAGAAGATCGTCATAATCAAGCATATTCGACCGTTCGAGGTAGGCCTGATATTCTTGATAGCATTGCTCTAAGGTCTTAGATTCTATACCATCGCTTTTTTTGGTCTTGCCGGCTTGCTCATCGGAGACTCCTTTGGCTTTGCGTTTGCTGATCCAACCGCGAGCCATAGCAGGATCGATTTGAACGTCGAACCTCTTGCAGATGCGCTTGATAATGGCCCTCGAGTCTGAGTCATCTGCAATGCCAAACTTGGGATCCAGCCCAATACGTTGGCCATAAGTAGCTAAATATCTACGAGCAATACTGTGGAAGGTGCCCAGTACAATCTTCTTTTCGCGACCATTTCCCAGCGCCTGACCGATGCGCATTCTCATCTCGTTAGAGGCCTTGACGGTAAAGGTTGCGACGATGACATCGCATGGTCGGATTCCGACATGGTCGATGAGCCAAACGACACGAGAGGTAAGGGTATGAGTCTTGCCGCTACCTGGACCAGCCAATATAGCGACTGTCGGTGCGCGGGAGCTAACAGCACGGGACTGTGCCTTATTCAGCGATTTGAATAAATCACTGCCCTCGGTACCCGGCATGGCTGGAGATACTTGCTCATCAGGATAATAAATTTGAAGTGCCAAACATTTGATTAGTATATGGATTATATACTTAGGTCGTAGTGTTGTGTTCTTAAGTCATAGCTCACATCAACGTTAAGGCTGCGTCGAGGTTAGCCAGGATATATTGGGTATACGAACGAACGCGTCTAAAGAGACGCAGACGCGACGGGCTGTTTTCGGTTGGGAATTGAAGCTAATGTTCTAGTTAAGGATTGACCCTATTATCTGCAGATCGCCAAGTCAGGTGATATTAGCTTGATTGTGTGCTGACCGTATTATGTTAGGTAATTATACAATTATGCATGAGTTATGCTGGTGCATATAATGCACTTCATAAGATTAGAAGCTTAGACCAAGTTCCCGATTTGAAGTTGTCCCGCTCTGCCCGCTGCTACATTGTATTCTTCCCTTGCTGCCCTCCATCCATCAACAACCGCATCACCAACTAATATCAGGGGGAAGGCAATTCCGTTTCTCACTATCAGCCAATCATATCAAGGACCCCAAGAAACATGTTTCGCCAAACAATTCCGCCTTGTAGCTGCACATCGCTTCATTGTGATCTATGCCAGTCACTTCACGGGACTATACCGAAATCATGATAAAAGACGATTCCATTTAAAGACTTAATAATGTCACATATGTGACGAGATTGAAAGAGGATGGCTCTCACCTTTTATTACCATCTTTTAAGACCAGGTTGAGGCATACGGTCGCCATTTTATTCGTTCGTGTTGATGTGCGTAGCATAGTCGGAGTTCAAATTTCGCAAACTTATCGGTACAGATGAGCCTAGTCTAGCCAATCGGCGGGAACAGAGGCAGAGTGACCTGCAGAAGCGCAAGGGGAAGGGTTGAAGGGTGGGGTTGGGTGATGTTGCTTGAATCCGCACCCAATCAGCCGTGACGCTTAACTCGTCGGCGCTTAAGTCCCCTGTCGTTATGATGTTGTCCTCCAACCAGAATTGGAAGAACGGGATCAACCACTGCCTTCTACAAATATGAATATGGCAATCTGTCACCCTCACTGGGCGCTCTCGCTGGGGGCTATTATGCATGGAGCCAAGTGCTTGGAGGGGGGCTGACGAGTGAGAGGCCAGTTCACATCCAAAGCGCCTGTCTGCTCCTGTTAGCATCGTACATTTCGGCCCACTTCGACACACTGCCGAACATCACCAACCGCTATATACCCTTTGTCCTCCCGACTTTGCGTCTTACCTTGTCGGATTTCCATCAGAATGTGTTTCGATAGATCCGCCAGGAGGTTTGACTAAGGAGTCGGGATATAGTATATCTCATGAAGATCTGGGTCACACACAATGCAACTAGGGCTTTATAGCACGCTGTCCTCGCTTCAGTTTGTCTTGCTTCTTCTTTTCCCGACGTTCGCTCCTTTTTGTTCTGCCTCTGTAATACAAGACCTCCAAAGCAACTATTTTGATCCAGCTCCAACGCCCGAGGACGGCCCTCCCCTCTCGGCTGGAGCCCTTCGAGATACATCTTACCTTCCCGCCCAAATTGGTGGCATAGTCGGATCATATGCCTTTTCGCTCGTTGTAGTCGCTGTCATTATACTTCTCTTGGCAAAGAAACGCCGTGAGCATCTTACAGCAGGAGAGGAAGACCTAGAAGGCCAGTTCCCATATCAATTCGCTTTTTTACCACCTGGGCAAGCTGGCGGCCAGCCTCAGTACGGTCTCGACCCACCCAAATCGCCTGTCAAGAACTTTTCTTACCCAACACCACCAACACCGATAAGTGTAAGGAGCCCGACAAGCCCGACGAGCCCTTACATTGTACCCTCACTTCATTCCACAAGCACACTTGGTGTAAATCCTTTAGTCGATCCGCGAGTCGTTGCAGCAGATCGCGAGATGGCGCAACAGCAGCTGGAAGAAATGTACAAGCTTGTACTAGAGCAAGAGGCTGCGAAGGAAGCAGGCGTTACCTTGGACCAGCTGCCGGTACCGCTCTCCCAACAGCAGACCCCAAAGCAGGGTATCTTGAAGAGGAGCAAGAACAAGCCCGCGAGCCTTGATCTTGCACAGTCTGGAGCGGAAAAGCCTCAGTCCCGAGCGTCTTCTATCCTATCCGCTTTCAAATCGCCTCGAAAGAAGAATGTTAAAGGCATCAGTATCTCGTCTCCGATTATGACGCCTATGTCAGGCACCTTTCCACGCCAGGAAGAGGAGGAGTTAAGAGTAATTCCTCCCCGCCACTACGCACCGGCATCTCCACCCCCAGTTCCGACAGACCAGGCCCCATATGCACGGGCAAGCAGGCAGCACGGACCAGTAGCGCCTATCACTCCGCCGGATATCTCTCCGGAGAGTACGCAGAGCATTGACGAACGATTAGGTCATCTGCGGAGCAACTCGCAATACACCGAACCCGACCCGGTGTCAGCAATTTCAGAACGGTCTACTGCGCCTCTCGTTGGTTTGCCTTCATCACCGAAGCCAGGCGTTAATCGCTTCCCTTCTCTTCCAGCATCTCCGAAACCCGGGGCGACGTTCCCGACTTCGCCCGGACCGGAACAGCGATCCTTCTCGCGACCCAATGCTCCCTCAGCCATCCGAACTGGTGGTACTCTTCCGCTACGGGCCTACGAGCCTTCTCTCAGTTCGCCTTCGGCACAGACAACCAAGCAAACAACGTTCGAAAGAACTCTCCCTTTATCGCCTTCGGGACTTAGGACACCGTGGACCGGCGCGCCAGTGCCCTACTCACCATACCAACCATTCTCGCCCGTGGTTCCTATCACGCCGTCGTTGGTTACTAAGGCGGACCGAAAGAGGATGAAGCAGTTGCAGCCCAAGACACCAACAATGGAAATGGTTAAGGCTGATGATGAAGTGTGGTAGATGCGTGCTTATGTGGGGGTTTAACGAAAGGTCTGGATGGGTTGATAAGGATCTGAGTCTATCACCCTGGCGTCTTGGATGTATTCTTGTGTTTCAAAATCTAATGAGTGATGTAGAGGGACTTTACTTTCTGGTTTAAAGCAATTGCTTATAGTTTTATATACCACTTTTTGAAATCGGAGGAGTTAATTCACATTGGGGTTCCAGTTGTGCATTTCTCATGGCCATATTAGGTATGAGTTATGCAACCCTGACTACCTGACGCCTCCTTTACTTTATGATAGTGTATGTGCGTATAGATTCGCACAAGTACAAGTATTCAACCCATTTTGGGAACTCAAGAAGTCAACATGCATAGATGCATAGATGCATAGGGGAAGAGAAGATAAGCTACTTTCGCAGTGGGTCACGTTAGGACTTAGACTGACTTGGACTACCTATTGTGAACTGTGAACCGAAAAGATATTACATATGTTCGTACTCATTACTGCATTGGCTTCTGTTGTGGTTATGATTGGCTAGAAAGAACCTCGGGTAGGAGTCGAACCTGGCCATTGATTGACGGACCCAAGCGGTTCCTAAGCGGTTCATTATCTATGACGACTTGCCTTATTTTGCTAAGAACCTGATTCTGAAGTTGTACTAAAGACTCGGACTATTAATCAATGCAATTAATATGATATAACATCGTGAGCAGCCACCCGTTGACAACAAGGTTAGGCTACCTTAAATACAGGTACCTTACAGGCGATTAGTACATGCGGGTAGTGTAGTACAATCAGTACAATATCACAAAGGGCTGAAAAGGATAAGGTTAGGTACCTACCTAGGTTAGGATCTTAGGTAGATTAGGATGTAGGTACGGGCGTAATCCGTTACACAATATGTATGTGTAGTGCAGATAGCCGCTATACTTAAATAAGAGAAAGAACCTAGAGAAAGTGGCTGAACCACTATGTACTTGGAGACTTATGAAGTGGCTGGTGGTACATGGCCCATAAATACCCATAGTTCCCTACCAATAATGAGGCCTAGACGGGTAAGCCGAAGATCTTCCAAAGCGGGTTCAGCCAGGTTCAGCCAGGTTCTAGGAAGGTAGGGCTCGTTAAGAGGTCTGAGCGTGACGATTGAGTTTACTTACATAGCTACATAGGTAGACTTATTCCATCAATCCGCCGGTCCATCGTATGATTCTTCCAAGCCTCCATCAAGAATTCCCCCGTTTTTACATTCTCGCAATTGGGTTTTTCGCGCTTTATCGACATTCCCGCCCTATCGGATTCTAAGATCTCGGAAAAAGCAAATCTCTAATCTCTCTGTGTGCGTGCAACAGGAGTTGCCCATCAACACTTATTCGAATCCAAGGTAATAAGATAATTTAATAACGCCTTTACAAGTTACGGCAGAAGGGCAACGAAGGGCGTTAGTTTAGCAAAAACCGACGTCCACCTCTAGACCTTACCAGGCCTCGCGTACACTACCTAATAGCATTGGGTAGATTATCCCCTCTCCGCCCTCTTAAAGTGCTGTTCTCTCTTTTTTTTTTTTTTTTTTTTTTTTAAACGGGGAGAGAGACTTGGCGTCGCAAAGCAAGCTTTTCCCGTCTTTTCCCATTCTGCATTCCCGCATTCTGCTTATCCCGTTTCAACCCCGAACAACAATCTTAGTCGAAGAAATCCTGTGCCTACAACATTTTGTTGCCTTCCCAATCTAAGCTTATATACCCTCAGATCAATTGCGTGAGCCAACCAACCGATCCATTTTCATATTCATCCATCGGTGCCCATACGCGCACTATACTATTCCAGGCCGTACGATCAGGTCATCCCAACGACAATACCCCTGGTCGTTCCCGCCATATGCAAACCCCCTCCTTTCGCTTGTCTTGACCTGGACAAGAGCGGCTGAAGGACTTGCTGTGGTGCCTGCTGATGTCGAACCACACCTGCATCTCATGATCGTACCAGCACCAGTGCCACCATGACGGACCAGCAAGAGCCATCCGACATCTTTGGTCTCGACGATCCAAACGGCCCGTATTACCAAGATGGCAATAATCCAAGTAATGGGGACGCGGCCCTGACCGACTCCAGCACCGGCAACCAACAGTTCTACGGTGAACCTAATTGGACCTTTCAAGACACTCCTCCTTACGACACTTACGACACTAATGCATTTTACCAAGACGAATGGAATCTAGGTCAGCAGCCCGAACTAGACAATGGCCTCGCTCCGCAGCCACCGCCGCCGCAGCAGCCCGCTGCAGTGGCCCCGTCTTCCATGGCACCCGGTCCGTCGAATCCACTGCCGACCGTAGGCCCGGTAGTGACCACTACGCTACAGATTCGACCGAACGGCGCGGGTCCGAGAGGTCTTACTGAAGAACAACGCCAAAAACTACAGAATATCGCTATGCCAACCCAACTTCACTATCGCTCCCCTAAGAGCGAAGCGAGTCCCGATTCAGCCGGTCCGATTTATAAGTCTTCTTCCATATCGTCGCCCGAGGATCAGAGTCTCTGCTCCAAGTCGAATAGTCGTAAGCGAAAGTCGTCGGTGGAACTCGACGACGATGACGATGACGATCTTGATAGCCACCAGCCAGTGAAAAAGACGGCCCACAACATGATCGAGAAGAGATATCGCACTAATCTCAATGATAAGATAGCAGCTCTGCGAGATAGTGTACCAAGTCTACGCATCATGTCTAAGAGCGCGAGGGGCGAGGACACGACTGAGGACAGAGAAGAGTTGCACGGCTTAACACCTGCGCACAAGCTTAATAAGGCTACGGTTTGTCTATACCAATCTTTTACACACTGGATATCGTAACTAAACTTGACGCGCAGGTGCTAAGTAAAGCTACCGAGTATATTAGGCATTTAGAAAAAAGAAATCTTCGGCTCGTCGATGAGAACTCGGCCATGCAGCAACGAATAGCTGCCTTCGAGAAACTCTTCATGGCGGGTGCGATGAATGGCGCAGTTAGTCCCTTGCAGCAAACGACGCCTTCCACGCCCATACAATACTCGCAAGAGCCTAACGGTTACGGAAACTCAGCTATAGGCACATCGGGCCAGACCGATCCCCAGGGTATGATACAAGTACCTGAAGATATGAAGCGTATAATTGCCGCCCAGTTGGCGACGGGTCAGCCGTATCCAGTACCGCCAAGGCCGTTTGGTGGTAATCACAATCCCAATTTGATACGTCAACAGCAAATCCAACAGCAACAACACCACATCCAAGCAAGAGGCTGGCAGAATGCTAGCCCTTATTTTGGAAAGTTGATGGTTGGCTCCCTAGCCGGGTTAATGCTTCTGGAGGCCGTTCGGGAGAACGAGCAAAACAACGAAACGCCAGAGGGCCGTGGTCTCTTCGCCGTCCCCATACACCTTCTCAGTTTACTTACATCCTCGTTGAATATCAACTTTATGGGTTATCATTTGCAAGGTGCGCAGGTGTTATATTATATCAGGGTTTCATTGCTGCTCTGTAGTATTTGGTGGGCTGTCTTCCCCTCGCTCATGGAACGTAGGCCACCAAGTGTGCAGGGTTCCAAACAGCAGAAACAAGCTTCCCTGAAAGCAGTACCGTCTCTGGCATCTCCTATACACGTACGTCGTCAAGCATGGCTTACAGCCATCCAGACAGTCTGGGTCCCACGACACAATTTCTTCCTCGAGGCTGCCGCGCTTGGTCTCAAGACAATGAAGCTGAGCCTGAGGAATCTTATTGGAATCCATGGTTATCAGATGCTGACGGGTCTCACGGAGGACGAAGAGCTTGCCCGTGTCAAGGCATGGGCAATCGCCCTAGACGCTCAACTAGCCGGAGGAGATGTCGAGATTAGCAAGAGCCGACTGACTCTAACCTTGCTCGCTTCGGGAACTCTGCCCACTACACCACTTCGATTGATGCTTAAGGCGCTCCATATTCGAGTTCTATTGTGGGAGGTTGGCCTCTCTGGTATCCAGCTTGGCATATTCAACACATTTGCGTCTAAATTGGCTCGAACAAAATGGAATGAGGCAAAGCAACTACACAGACTCCTCACGCAGCTTCGCCGTGGCGGCCAGGAACAATCTGATGACGAGCTACCTGATCACCTAGCTGCCTTGCTTGAGCAAGATTGTGATATGGTCCTAAATCCAAATATCGTTCAAAGGGCACATAATCTCGCCTGGAACCGCCCAACCGACTACGACGCCATTGGAATCGTTGATGGTATGGATACTGTAGTAGATGATTTAGCAGTCCGCTCGCCAATGGACGCTGTTGCAGCCTGGTGGTCAAACATGACGCTACAAGGTGCACTTACGAATAGTCTTCTAGCGCAAGAGGATGATGCGGACACAGTCCAACAAGTCGAGGATGATGTGTCGCTAGCCATTAGAACCGCCCCGATTGGGTCCATCGCCCAAAATCGTGCTTTAGTTGCACGTGCGCTACTCTTTGAGGAGAAACGAAACATCAATATCATGGCTGCATTGCAAGCTATTGGGCCCGTAACCCCGGTTCTCTCATCGAATAGTCCCTCGGGCAGCCCTACCCGTACTGCGCCATCATCTCCCGCTCCTATCAAGGTGCTCCCGCCTTCGCTAGTCATGACCACCGAGATGCGCACTGCTCTCCTATGTGCCATGGCCATTGCCCATCTTCAAAAATTCTCTCCCCCTGAAGAGCCTGTGGATATCTATGGTGTAATCGATCAAATTCACCCCATCAGCGAAATGGGATTGCTCGGTTACACCGCTACTTTTAAATTAATGGACCGGCTTGCCAGTCATGAATTCGCTGCAGAAGCTTGCGCTGATACGCTAGAGCGTCTCTCGGGCACACTGCGGATATGGACTGGGAAAGACTGCGGACTTGAGCCAGAAGTTCGGCACCAGATGATTGAACGATGTTTAACCGTAACCCGTGGTGTTGTTGGAATGGGCATCGACACAGATACCGGCTATGGCAGCAGTGAGTATTTTGTCCCCCCTTGGTCGCTATTCAGTCAGTCATGGTTTGGACTATGCAAAACGTCTCCGATCTAAGCCCAATCAACTGGATGCTAAGCGGCAATCCAACTTATACGTTTACCTCGATCTAAAACAACGACTAACTCGGGTTGCAGTGAGCGAAAGCGAGGACGACCATGACGTATTAGCCGACTTATCAACCGTCACGGATGTTGTAGCCAAGCAAAAGCCCCCCGCTATCGACTTGGATTTTGCGTAGAGTCTTGCGCCAACCCATTCCATATTTATATTCTAGCGATGGTCTCAAGAAAGCTTATCCATAGGAAAGTCTATCTTAGTTCGAGCAGCCGAAGTTATGCATTTATGATGTTAATGATTATTGACCAGAAGTGGCCATTGTCACTTATATACTATACTAACATCACTACTTCATTATATATATAATTGGGTTATTTTGTCGTCACATGTGGGATCGGTGCAATTCATGAGGGACATGGTTTGGCCTCAAAAGTTTAGGGGCGTTCTGGGAAAAGCGGAAATATGCTTACGGTCTTTAATGGTAGAATGGACAGACTAGGGACGAATACCGGCGCTCTTTGAAGATGGTTGAGGAAGGACAGAAAAGGCTTAACAGCTTTTACTTATGCGTCTAAGACGCCTTTTGAAAGCACAACAAATACCAAAATAGTATATAATTCATGTGAGAGCTGTTAACTGTATTATATGTGTATATCTCTATTCCTAGCGAATCCAGTATTCTCAGGCTTCGTCTATAGCCTAAGCTAGACACTTTAGATCCTCACTTAGCATATGTTAAGGCAGATAGTCCATCATAAGAGCAAAAACTTCATGACATAATATACTTGTGCTATGCATATCCTGTTGGGGGAAAAGGCTGATCTCTGCCTGTTGAGTCGTTAGTGACAGAGGAGGTTACGTAGGTAACTAGCTACCTCCTATGTAGTAATATGCCTCATGTATATAGAGGCGACCCATCGACTTTGGAGATAAATTGGTGTTTTCTGGTATATTTTACCATTTACTTCGGCATGTGATTATAATAATCGCTCCGGGTATACGAGCCGCTCCTTGTTTGATCGGCGGCCACGAAGGAAACCCCTCTCATAGCCTCGGGGGCCAGACGGGCAGGCATATATCCGCTTCACTACTACCAAGGTACGTTAGCGTCCTACTCATCCCTTTTCATACCCGGACCGCGGTACATACCTAGATAGGTTTGTACAGGGCCAAGACTATGTCGCCCTAAGTAGCTATCCATATGCAGAGGCCGGGGTCTGCGGCCAGAACTGTCCGGGAAACATTCTTAATTTATGTATGTAGGTATTGCTGACATCCCGGTGATCCGGAACGTGGAATCAGCTGTATTCGAGCCCCGTGCGCTGCTGCGGACAACCGTGAAAAGGCTACTCGGAACCCCTTTCCGATATTCGAGTGATACCTGCGCGCCTCGTAACCGTCTGGATGCCTTAGGTATGTATGAGAAATGGCATAATAAATACCCAGGTATATAGATCGCCTCGACCTGCCTACCTATGGCCTGGGATAGTTCATATGTTTTTATGCTCTTTCGGCGTAAACCCCCCTCTCGCGAAACCCACGAATACACTCACCTGACGAGGCGAAGGGGGTTGCATACATACCTGGTATGTACATGCTAATGTATACAAATACATATGCGTGGGGGACACGAGGTTTCTCGTGGTCTTACTCAGCACCTTCTGTATCGACTTGGAACATGGATTGGGGGGTTGAACCATGGACGAGATAGGTTTGAGGAAAAAGCAGATCTATCTTATCTAATACTGTACTTCACGCGTAAGCCGGACCCAGGGAGCTGGCCCGCCCAATTCCAAAGCTGACAGAGCCAGTTCCAGGTGAGAGTGTTGCAAGGGTTGGGTACCTTTTACTCCTAACCCCCTTAGTGATAGCCTCTTCTCTTTTCCCTTTTCCCTTATCACCCCCTTTTTCTTCACCTGCTTGACCACGTCAATGTTGGTTAGATAGACGCGGCCTCGGCCCCGACTCTATGAGTATCGACGAAATACTGTTATAAGTGAGTAGGCGGTATGTACCGTACGTATATTCTACGTCCACTCTCTCCGCTCGTAGCATGCATGACCGGAAGGAGCATGCCGAAGGTTCGAGACCTCGCATTCGCCAGCCACTTACGGGAATATACGTACACATTCTCCAACGGCGGTGGAAAACGACTTGGAGGTTAGGGGGATATGCCTCGAATAGTGCACTCGGTATTGATACTTGGCTTGTAGACGAACCTCCTGACCCCAGCAGAACAGCCCACAGCTCAGTTGTCACTTTCCATGTGGATTTGGCACGGTAAGAACCTTAGCTGTGTACCCTTGGTGCAGGTAGGTATGCATGTAGATGTGCGTGTGTGGCAACCCGTGTGGACCAGGCTTTGCTCACTTTGAGCAAGCTTCCGTTCCTGGTCAGCCCAACAGTCTGCACCTAACGTTGGGTATCTGCCGGAGACGGCGCCGCCCCAGCTATTTTGGCATAGCATTACCACCTGGACCCGTAGACTATACTAGATGTTAGTAGGCGCCTAGTTGCGGCGTGATAATAAGGTGGATAGAATAGAGACGCCGGGAATAGGGATAAGCTCAACGGAACAGCTACCAGAGACACCATCAACAGAAATTGGGAGGTCGACAAGGGAATATCAACCCTACTGACGGTCATATGACGATTCTCCAGACGCAAGACATGCATTTCAACTGTTCCCCAAGTCGCCGGTTCTAATATGTCGTGTCACAGCAGCAGTGCTAAAGAATTATATACCAACGGCCTGGGCGTCGAGTTTATACGGTCGTCGCCACTCCCAGCGGACCCTGCCGCCGGGCGCGCACATTATCTTCATGCGGACACCTGCAGGATCTAGACTGAGAAGAGCTTTCCCTACCGAAAATGATGGAGTTCAAGCGTAGGGCTCAGGATATCCCGACTTTCTCCTAAGATCCGCGGACTATTTGGGGTCATATAAAATCGAAGGCGTCCTTTTATCAATTATGTAGCAGTAGCTAGCGTACCAGGGGAGCACGTCAGACACTCGACGAATCAGCGGGATCGAAAAGGTCCGCAAGACCGCTGACCAAGTATGCTGAATATATCCGTAAGGCAATAAACCCCACACTATCCTGACTGCCGAAAAGGTAGGGAATTTCACAGCTATAGCTGTTCCAAGTATATGCCGTTAATATCCGTATCCACGGGACGGGGACTCGACACCGTTCTTCCAAGGATAGCAAAAAATGTCAGTGGGCCACACTCGCTCGTGGTTTGGATTGGCGGGATTTCGTTTTCGACTGGTCGTTTATGACTAAGTATGGTCTGAGGAATGGATCTTCTAGACTGGAAAATCATTCCAAGACGAAGGCGAACAATGATCGGGCTTATTGTGCGCCTGGATCTAGCCTAGACCAGCGCCTTAACCATCGTGAAGGACTCGAAAAATGATGCTCACTGGGGTCCTAGAGATGTACCTAACTATTGGGATATATGTTTCATATTAGTAATGCTCAAGGAACAGTTCCACGTCAACAAAGACCGACTCATGATATTCCTTAGGTCAATCAGCACGCATCGCTATTTTATCTCGAGATCTATCTAGACCCCTTGAGGTGAGCAGTACACTAAATCAACCTTTCGACTGGCAGGCTTCGCTCTTCGCTCTCACAGTAATTCAAATTCCAAAATAAAGGATAATGCTTTAATTCTACTCCGGGCTTGCCTCGGCTCTAATAGCTGCGATATAGTTGAGATCAAGCCTGAAGGGACCCTCCTGTTCGCCAAAGAAACTGCCGTTGGAAAATTTAGCGATGCGAGATAAGGAGAAAAAAAAAGGGTGTATGGACATGGCACAAACCTTCGCATCATGATGCTTATCCGTTTGATATGATCCAAGCGCAAAGGGGCAGCATCCGGTTTCGGCTGCCCTCGATACGTGGGCTTGAAGTCGTCCCAGGAGGCCATCACTTCCGACTCGTCACCAGGCACGAAGTCGTATTCCCAGCTGACAGTGCTCTTCTCCCTGCCATCCTCGCGATGAGTCGGGACATCGTCCTTAAGAACAAGCGTGTACCTCCTCCCGTCGCTCTTGGCTACACCAACGCTCAGCCCCTGGTAGTCGAGCAGGTCCCAAGACTGGGGGTCGACAGTCCGCTGCGAGGCAAACCCGGCGCCTCCGAGGGCGGTGATATCCAATTCTCCGCTGAAGGTGGCCACGGTCGAATCAGCAGAGCATACGAAGAGGCTATGGCTCTTGCCGCCGCGGGCCCGGTCGTCGGATGGGCACCAGGCGTGCTCGTTCCATAGCCTTTGATGAGTGTCAGTACGATATAAGAAGGGGTAAAGGATATATGGTATTTATGGCTTCAAAGGGCCGTAACTTACTTATACCCGCCAAAGAGGTAAAATTTAGGCTCGCCCATAGCTATCAGATTTTTCCTTCTTCCTCCCTTTTCTTAGCGTCTATATATTATACCTCAGGTATATATATCAGATTAAGTATATATCTAAGTCCCGAGCGATACTCCCTTACTTAGCCCAGCAGTCAAGACTTAGTTTGCTTTCAACGTTGTTAGACCGAACCCAGAGCTTTCAACGGTCAAGTCGCAACGGCAGCAATCTTGGAATGGAGACGTGAAGTCAAAAGAAGATATGTCATTGTATTGAGGCTCAAGAACGAGGTCAGTGCACACAGGTAGCCTTGAGCTTAGGGGAACTTGTCTCGTAACCTAATCTGGATCTGGGTAGTGGTTATACCAATGCGGCAAGGTTAGCACTTCACGTAGCGTATATAGCGTATGTAGCAATCCTTTCCTTTTTTTTTCCTTGATTTTCTTCGGTGGTGGAGAAGCCGTTTGCGGTGTGTTTGCATGTCAATGCTGGAATGAGTGCGGATGTGAATGAAAATACTATAACGCAAACTCTATATACATACTCAAGTAATAACCGGTACTTAATATAATGTTTGCGAATACCCACCTTATAGAGTTAGTTAATGGCGTAAGATTACATAACCATGTTAGGTCAATATGCTAATGTTTTTCAACTTCTATCAATATCAAGCTTTTCAACGAGTAGACAACAAAGGAATCAACACGTGATGGAATTCGGGCCCGAACAAAAACACGGACGTAGCAATACGCGAGAACTCGAAACTCGCGTAAAGCTCTCGGAGCTAACTCCTTGCTCGGCTCAGAGCTGTACGATTACGTCGCACGACCGATGGGGGGGATGGGGGAATGAAGGATGGTGGTAGCCAAGTGGTAATTGTGCCGCGCATTTATCTGGGCGGATGCGACGTGAGAAAAAGGATCGGCCAGATTCGCCGCGTCTATTCGATAACTCGGTACCACTCTCCCATACCATACCATTGTTAGTCTCATCCATTTGGTCGTCTCACGAGGCTTCTTGTTTACAGTCTGTCGCAAGTAGAATTGAGAGGTAAAATTAACTTCCATGTTTGCTAGTATTCTGAGCGCGAAGCTAGAAGTTCCATTTGCTAAGTAATGGAGGCATTGAAATGCCATAAGGAGGATGAAATATTTGCATTCCCTACACAGTAAACTGGACACATTCGTGCCAATCCTTGTTCCATTCGCCAATATCCTCGCTTAAGCTCGGGAGAGCCCTTTGTATGTATCATCTAAGCTCATGTCAAAATCCCGTCAAATAACACCACGCTGCACCTGGATATCCCTAAAACAATAATATGCACCACGGCGACGAGCCCTTCGTCTTCCATGTAAGATATCTCGCCCCGCCATGTCCGAGATAAAACATAATCCGTCCGTCCAAAGCCCCTATCCTCAGCCGTGCATTCGTGTCCCATCGTACCTCAACACACTAGCTAGCTATGAGCGGTGTTGCCCGAGGCCGGGAGACCCAGGCATTGAAAGAGGTGTTGTCGGGTAGTCATAACCGGACTCTGAACAGTTCGCCGAGTGTTCGTACGAGTGTGAAAGCGGTGGAGTCTAGCAACACCGATCAGCTACGAGGTTCTCGGCGGGAGTAAGCGCGCACATGACTCACATGAGGGTTGGAGTGGTCGTACGAATTTTGGCCGTGGACATCCATTCCTGGTACGAAGCCGTAGTTCATGTACGGGGACATAGTTTCTTCTGGATACGTCGCCTCCCTCTTGATAGCATCGTTGAAGTGGGTCATGGGAGGAAGCGTGCAGGGGACATTCGAAGCTATGTAGCTGGGATAGCCTTCGCCGGTTGTAATCGGGTGATGGTAAGGTTGAGCCGAGTTGTACGGGGGTAGAACCATCTCGTCAGGAGGAGGATATGCTGAGTAGGGCATAAACGGTGGCGTGTGAGACCGTTCTCGGTCGTCATACGATTGGCTGAATATTATTTCGTCGTCGTGGTTCATCGGAGGTGTGAATTGAGGCTGTACGGTCTTATGCGGAGCTCCAGTGGGCTTCTGCGCCTTAGAGGAATTCGTCTTCTTGGTATTCCGCGTGCTGCCGGACTGCGACTGCTTGTCACTTCCCGTGGGAGAAGAAGCATCGTCCGAGGTACCGGCGCGCCTCTCGAGGTCTTCCAGACGCCTCTTAAGCTTCTTGCCTAGAGAAACTGTTAGGTTACTCGGTCACTGGTAAGAAGAGTAAAACTGGTCGCAACCTACGGTAGTTGCGCTGGGCAATTCGGTTCTGTATCCTCCTGCGTTCGGCAAGGTCCGATATCTTGGTCCAATCCTCATCAGGGTTGGCCGAACTGGAGAAAGCACTGCTGGTCCCGTGTGCCGAGTACTGTCTCGGCGCCGGCGCGGGCGGGTATGAATATTGATGTTGCGACATAGCGTACATAGACATTGCTGGAGAGTCTATCTATCCGTAGTCGACCTGATATTGGTATGATGATATCGAGCAAGTGATAGATATATAGTGAGATAAGACGGTTAGACGTCGACGGTAGTTCGTTGTGATTACTTCAGAACTAAGTTGCTGTCGAACCGAGATGGTGGGACATATGAACTTTCTGAAGCGGGAGGAAGGAATCAAATATATAGAAGTAGCCCTTTCAGCCATGGTCCATGGAAACCGCCTTCGAGATGGAGGATTGCAGCCCCCCATGCTTCTTCTATGACAAGGCCTCAGCAACCTGAGTACCTGAGTACCTGAGTTACCTGAGAGCCCAGATACAGTTACATGCGTCTGGGTACGTAGATACGTATATTTGTATATACGTAGCATGTACGTATTTCCCATAAACATGGGTCCCAGCTTAGACAGGCATCTGATTGCGAATGCACCTGATTGTGCGTCCGCCCTTTCAATACAACCTTGACTAGAAGTTGGGGGGGTGTTGTAGTTTGCATCTGGGGCCAGTGCGAGAAGGGCAGAGCAGCGCCTCAATCTGAAGGAAGAAGTAGCGGGCGATCCACGGGCTGGAGTACAATACGGTAAAGACAATACGTACCTGCTCGCACGAGTGAACAAGGGTTCAGGTCAGGTCAGGTCAGGGGAGGGGTTTGGAGGGGTTTGAATATAAAAAAATACATAGATAAATACTTTGGTACCTCTATGATTATATATATAAAATGGAAGTAGTGACTGTATATACTTAGTAGTTGGCAGTAACCCTACCTGCATGGTCGCAGGGGGGTTTTTTCGCAACGCTCCTGGGCTTTACGATATGCATATATACAGTATTTCCATGCAAGTAAAAGCATGGCGGAGTTCCCTAAATTTGCCCGAATTTCAACACAAGTACTATGTATCTCTCGTTCCGCGCGCTTGAGTAAAAGCAGCGATGGCTTTTAATTCTCCACACCCACCGTAACCCGACGACTCGTAGGGCTGGCTCCTTAAGATATCGGCGCTATTAGGCTATATTCAGCACTCAACTATGGATCTTACGAGTAAAACTAGCTGTTGTGGAGAAAGACACTTCTTAAACCCTTAAACTTCTCAGTTTGAGCTCCGAAGTAATACGGCGGATATGGTCACTTCTATAGATTGAATTCAATGGATTATAAATCCCGATCCGGAGAGCGGAATGAAAGGTTACTCGCAAGGTTATTTTCTTATCACCTTTTAACTAAAGGGAAACGGGAAGCTAGCTTTTGGGGAAGTGAGCAGGGCAAGACGGGGCTCAACAGGGCAGGGCAAGGCAGGGTCCTTTTTTCTGGATCATGTACCAACCCAGCACGTTTTTGGAGTTTCGTTGCGTTACTTACAAGGCTATGGGGTCTAACCCTATTGCGTACCTTGACCACTCATAGGGGAGATTTACATGAAATAAGTCCTAAACCCGTGGCTATCGCTCAACACTCGCCCTTGCTGCTTCGGTATGGTATCGGAATATGTGTCATCTAATAGCCGCACGCAAGGCGACGGCACTGGGCAACAACACAAATTCGAAAAATTACCCGACATCTTCGATAGATATATGGTGCGTAGAATTTCCGGTCACAGAAACGATAAGCGAAGGCATTGCCAGAACACATGACTTAGAATCCATGCATAGAGACTCTGACACCACCACTACCGCCGTTTTTACTAGGGAACAAACTACAAGGAACCTGTAAGGCTGGGTACTTTAGTTTAAAAGCTGAGCGTCAGGAAGTCGGCAGAAAGGATGGGCTAAACCCCGTAGTTATCAAATCGTGCACGCGGGAATAGGTAAGAGAAGTCCTAGATAAGGATACGAAGCATCCGTAAAATTCTCCAACCAAGGGAACGCACCAAGGATATGCAATCCAATACAGTGGCTAGTGATTTCAAAGTACCAATGACACGTACATGCAATGCCCAGCCCTTCGAGTCCTTCGAGAAGGATGCATGGAAAGGGGGCTTAGACAGCACGGAAGCCTCCTCGGCAAGTCTCTCGCCTCTTCAGACGCCAAGCGATTAGATCTGTGAATGCCAGAAGAAACATGCGTAAGACATCTTTACGTAAAGCGGTAAAGTAATATGCGGTAAAGGGGTTGGATTTTAGTCTTCTGTCTTGGCCTCCCCTTGCTGTCCGACTTGTCAACATAAAAAAAAAGGTGGACAAGGGAAAAAAAAAAGATCGCCATCTGATTCGCATGCGCTTTATAAAGCTTCTATTTTTAGCCCCCGACCCATTACAAAGCCTTTTCTCGACTTTTTATTGGTTACCAATTGCCGCCTCTTAGGGCTGCTGGTCAACCTTCTCGAAATGTTCTACGTTACCAGGACTGTTTAAAATAATTTCGCGTGCGTCCAGTCATTATCTAGAAGCAAGCTGATAAAAAGGTAAGGCCGATATACCGTAACTTCGTGGGAGAAAAGACTTTGTTCGGCCTTGATTCAGCAGTCAATTCGCCCCCCTTAAGAATGCATATAACTAGGACCTTTTATTTGAGAACTATTTAATCATTAAAAAAGCTTATATCGTTTTCTCCTGTAGGATTTTTCGGTAGGTCGATCGCGTGCCCCACAAACCTCATGTTGGCAAATCATTTATAATCCATGACCTAGGCAGACCAGGTAAAGAGGTTAAAATAAGGAGCTATCTATTCGTGACTCAAAATTAATGCCATCGGTGTGTATTGTTTGAGAGTTGTTTCTGCTCTGCCACGCACGGTGCTCTCTATATGTACTTTAGGTACATAGCAACCGGAGAGACCGGGCGACCCGAAAGGGTGGTGAGCAAAAATGCCACAGACGCAATGGCGAAGGAGTCTTAAGAGGTTTGATCCAATACTTCAGTAGTTACATATCTTTAGCACATATTCGATTTTTTTCTCTGCGGCAGGTATGGGAATAAGTCCACCAATGAAAATATCTTATTCCTGTTGCTTTCTCAGCCTCGTCCACCCATTGACCCATAGACGATGCATGCATGTGCCACATGGCTTAGACGCCTTTTTTTTCCTACCGATTTTTAAAAGCGTCGCCAATCTTCGAACACACATACGCAAGACTACATTATACATACCGATCCCAACAGCTAACGTCTTTTCCTTTTCAGCTTCTATTGTGCCCCTTAAACTCATCCCACGCGCCCTTTGGAATCATTTAGCATAGAATTCGGCGAAGATCAAATAGGCCCGATGTATTTCTGTAGCCAGCCACAACGCTGGCGCCAGCCAATGCTCAGCCTTTACTCGTGAATAGTAGACATTTTATTCCGCTATCATATCACCACGAGGGCTACTGGTTTTTCCATGCATCTAAAAATATAAACGTACGTTTTATTCGAGCCATACTCGTCGATAGAACTAGATATACGCGTGATCGGTTATTACTCACCTACTCTTCTCTGTCCCGGAAATTTTGTGATTTTATTTTTTTCCTTCTAGTTCTTGTACCTACATATATTACAATATTGGATGATATTGACTCAGCGTTAGGTCTTCTATAAAGATTACAATTCGAATTGTACCACCAACGGCGTCGAATTCGCAATAGCAGGGGGGTGTATGACTTGTACCCTCCGGGAGTTTCTCGCTTGCTATTTCTCCCCCTAATCATGTTGGGTGCTGACGCGAGAAGCTTGGAGTTCCATGGAGCCGGCAAATTGGCGTGGGTATTGCTTACCCTAGGTAGGTACCCTTCCCATGGGCAGCGGCACAACATAAGCCACCCACTATCTCGGGCTCGTCAACGTGCTAAGGTGTTTTAAGGTTCTCACTTGCCAAGAACTCTTTCCTCTGCGGAGGGTTCTTTACAGCGGCGACACGTACATGTACAATGTGCGTCCCGCATACATCTAATAGCAACGTTCACAGTAGGACAAATCAGGAGCCGGCGTCAGGTCACAGCCGTTACCAAGGATCTCAACGAACAACGCCATGTGAGATCCAATCTAGACTATTTCCACCCGTTTTGGGACCAGTTGAATTCTCCCTAATTCAGGGGTTGCATATTATCTTAAGTGGACATGGCTACCTAACCAAAGGTTATTTCCGCATCGCTGTCGTCAAGAAATAGCAGTTAGGCTACTGGAGTTCTAGATCTCGGCCGTGAGAGATAATTGTCATCTAGACGGCGATCCTACTAATGTAGCTGAACTCCTTATCTCAATGGCCGAACAAAAACACCCCCTTTAATATTCGGGATCGTAGTTACAGATAGAGGAGTGTTTTATGCGACTGGCTGGCAGTTTTAGTACGTATGGTCACCGGCTATCGTAGGACAGGCGGCTTAACCGAATAAGGAAATATGTTAGACAGCCCTATGTGCCTACATACTACATATGTAACTTCGTGCTTCACATGTAAAGTCCTAAGGGATCGATACCGCCAACTCGCGCGATTAGACCATCCAAGCGCCCGAAATCTCCGGGAATAAGTCTATTCCCCCGCTTTTGAACCCACATCTCAGGATCGACACCACGCGTCTCCCCCAGAGCTAAGGAGCTGTTCATCAGTAGGGTGGCGGAATGCGAAATGAGCACCTATATAGCGCGATAGGGGTGGCCCACGTTGATTATTGGGAAAGGCCAATTGAAGCTAGTAAGTGGATAATAAGTCCGGCACGTATGATATATTAGCAATATATTAGCACGAAGGGCGTGGTCAAGCTTCATTATCTTTGATTCCTATCTTTGATAGTTACATGGCGCGAACAACCTCATTGGAGCTCTCGTTAAGACGGTCGACGCGGTCGAGACTCTAGTCTACGCTATGTCGAATTCTTCCGAGGCGACATACGTTAGAGGTAGTTCGCAGATTATGGACAAAGTCCCGTTTGAGATGATCCCATGGCTCGAGAGTTGATAGGATCTCAACAAAACGGCCCCCATGTTTATTCCCCCCAAGGTACATACGTAGTAGATGTGCTGATGCACGCACGTTAGTGGCTTAGAGGGCAAATCCTAAAGCAGGCAGCACACATACAATCCATGTCCCGTCGCGTGGCATGAAATTCAAGTATCATAGTGAGAGAATTAAAAGGCTCACATATGCATAAACCCCTGTGTTTTCCATCTGCCTACCTTACCATCATAGAAGAATTTACAAATTAGATGGTCTATGGGCTGGATTCCAAAACACCTAAGTCCTAGGACCATTGCAGTTATGTATCTCGTTAGTGGGCCGCAATTATACGGCAATGTTAATCAGAAATACGGACAGAACCCTGATTCCCGGCAAGCTAGGACGACGTTGATAGGCAGGATCGCATTTTTTGTAGCATATGAATCCGTACACTATGGAATGCGGACTTAAACCAAGCGAGAAGCCCTACGTCCGGCCAAGACTGTCGTTTATGCTGTGTAAGTGTTATATATCCGTCGCATGGTTTACCTAGAACATTATCGCACGGTTTTATAAACAATAATATACTATGTACATTGTCCAAGTAACTACCTACCTTAGGTACAATAGTTCAATACATTAGTGTATATGAGGCGGCAACAAGTTGGGCTAAATACGCTGTTTTAAGCAATCCCACCCCGCAAGCTGAAATAAGAATAAAACGTCCAATGGTGCCTAATTTGGCAATTTTTAGCTTTTATTCCCGTGATCCCTACCCTAGTAACCCGCTACCTAATTTAGTGAATTCATCCTAATGTACTGTACTTTTTTCATCTTCTTATCTCTTATCCAACCAAACTAAACTAAAGACATAAAGAATACGACTATGAGATCCTTTAAAGGTCTTGATGATGATGCTATGGCGTAGCATGCCATGGCTGGCCATGCGGTGCGTATGCTTTTACCATGGTGTAATTCTTGCGGGATACGAAGCAAGGACAAGCTGATAGTTGACCGAAGTTAGTCACGCGGCCTACTGCATTTACTGCATTTCGAAGCTGCGTTACTCTCGGCACCGGCCTTAACACCAGCGGATCGCGCGGCGTCCGTGTTGTACGAATGATATTGTTTTATTACCCCGTCGTCCTAACAACCCTCCGCTTTCTTGTAAAGAAGGATCGCTAAATTAATAATTGCATCTAACGGCATCGAATATCTAACAGTCTGGCACGAATTTGGATGGATGCTGACTGAACCCGTGCCTATGGACTTGGGTCGCGCCAAGAACGCATCTCGCCAAAGAAACACCCTGGTTATCACACCACCACCAATACTACCAATATACGGGCTACCGGTTACGGGTTTGGCAATACATACATACATACATATGTAAAGGTGGTTTAGGTACATAATGTAGCCAAATTTCCCATGCCCCGATCCATCAACTATGTAGGTACATATGTATATACGATATACACCCCCCTGTGTCTCTAGTGTATTTGATGATACGCTGCTACATATCCTACATACATCATACCTATCTCTAGGTACATACTTGCGTAGGTACTTCCCATAATTAGGTACACCTACATACTGTCCTATGTATGAAGCTTCCCAATCCCCAAACTTCTCCAGCCAGTTCATAGGGCTGAAATGACATCCGCACTTTATTGCCGTCCCCTACTGTATATGTATGTAAGTAAGCAGGTGCCAGGCACTTCGCTTCTTTCATATGTAGAACTGGCGAGTTACATTATACGCCGAGGAGTTCCAAAAGGGATACCGGCCTTAGATATTCAAACCCCGAATATAGATCTAGACAACATATGGAGAGCCGCAATCACCAGCAGCTATCAGTCGACTCAAGCAAAAAGGCCGTATCTGTATCGCAAGAAGTTACCTACGATGGCATCAACCCCCGTATTTCCATATATTCCTTTGCTATACCCCCCCTGCGGTAGTAGCACTAAATAGTAATGGCGGCGATAGCAGCCGAAAAGGAACAGCACTAGAACGTTGTAGCGGTCTGACGATAGATTAACTGACGCACGAAATACACTGAGCATACCCCTTGCGGTACTATTGTGTGTATATCTTTTTATTACATAGCGTCTTTAGGGAGAGAAATGGTCAGAAGAATGGGCTAGGTGAATTCGCCATTAACGATATGCTCGCACGGCATCTTTGTGGGGGATTACTGATCAGTAATCACCCAGCCAGCCTAGATATTTTCTCTTTACATACCTACTTACATAGCAGCGGGTCTCGGTGTTGCCGCTGGCTCGCATGGCTGGTGCTGTCGTAGGGCTGAAGACTAGTTTCTTGTTACGCTTTTATGCTCCTATGAGATCGCAGCGTTTACTTCCCCTCTCTCTGACCTGACGGGTAAGGTAATAATACCCCGAATTAATCGAGATAGCCTATGAGGCTGATGACAATATGTAGTCTTTCGACCTGGCATTTTCATATGTAGTGGTTTCAGTTTTTTTACCCCTTGCTTGGTCAT